CAGTCAAGTTGTTAATGAGTAAATTCACTGCTTCCATGAGAATAAATGATTACAGGCAAAGGGTGCAAAAGGGGCAGATCACTGACCTAGAGAAATTCAAAGTGAGACAGAAACTCCCTGCCTTTCCAGGGCTTTTCCACCTCCTGCATATTTGTTTGTGGGGATAAAAGGTGCACAAAAAGGCACCTTATTAGCTGAGGCTGCTGCCAGTGCTGTGGTGCCAGTGCTGCCGAGCGTTTCCAAGGCTGATTCCTGGCAGCAGAGCAGCCACTCGCCCAGGCTGTGGACAGAGGTGACCTGTGCTCCCAGAGAGCTGCTTTTCCCTGGCACTGTGGGTTGATAACCCCATCCAGGCTCTGGCATCTCCACGTTTTCCAGGTGAGCTTGTGGCTGCGGTGATGGACCAGGCAGTGCCTGGGGGGATGGATGGGCTTGGGAGGGAGTGAAATAATTTGATTTTTGAAAGTGGGGAAAATTAAATTAACACTTCCCCCCACTTTCCGTAGCAGTTCTTTTTCTGCTTTTCCTGCTTGTAGGTTTTGCATGTGCCCCTAAACAGTGGGAATTATTGCCTGTGCCCTGGCATGGCTCAGCAGGTCCTTTCCACCCTCCCAGGTAATGCCCAGCAGGGATGAGCAGTGCTGGTGATGCTCTCCACACACACCACAGGGGTCTGGAGCAGTGGTCAGGGAGAGATGATCTGCTTTGTTTTTACATGGTGCTATTTTCATAAGTCAACGCCAAAGGTAATAAATCTGTGGAAAATTAGCGAGTGGTTTGCTGTGCAAACTCCTCCTGCAGGGTCTGGGAGCAGAGCTGGGTTCTGCCTCCCAGCCAGCACAGCCTGCTCAGACCTTCTAATCCCACAACCAAAAAGAGCCCCTCTTGCTGCTTGTGGAAATGTAGTTGTCAATTTTACAACAATGTGAAGAATTGTTTTGGTCATTGAATGTTTCTCTGTGGCTTTGAGGTGCCTTGGAGTATCAGTGAGACTTCCCCAGAACTCCCTCACCAAAGCAAAACAGGATACTGACTTGGTCCAGCTTGTTTTCTTATTCCCACATGGAATAGTGAAATCAGTGTCTTGAGGAAAGGAATAGAGAAGAAATGTGTGAGTTTGCCATCATGTGCTGCTTACACAGAAGGATGGATGAACAAACAGAGAACGTGCTGTTCCAAAAGCAGCTGAGTATCCCTTGACTCTCTGGAATCTGCTTTTACTCTTTAAGTCTGTCACAATGGGCAGTAATCAGGATTACATTTTAATGGTATTTTGGTGCTGGGTAAAGCTGCCCACCATCTAAAGGCCAATGGATAGGGCGTGGGACAGTGGAAATGCCCTCATCTCCATCCTCTCCTCCTGGCTCCAGCACTTGCTCCATCCTTCCAGGCACTGGGGTGGCTGCAAGTGATTGTTACTAAGGAAACTTGCTTCAAAACCACTAACAGCAACACCAACTCCATGTAGAGATGTTACTATTTTCAAAGAAATCTGGTTGCTAATTAAAGTAGTGTCAGAATTTCCTGGCTGGAAGGTCGTTTTATGGAATTCCAGAGGCTGGTCAAAGGTTGAGCTGTACCTGGCATGTTTTCAGAGTTAGGGAAAATAAGGGATATGTGTGCCTGGAGACAAGTGTGAGCATCAAGTCTGGTGTTTCACCTCTTTTCTCCATGAAGAAGGGAAGAAAATGTCTGAAGTGGCCAAGAGCATAGAGGTTTTTATTCATCTGACTGATAATAGGAGCTAAATAAAGGCTTTGAAAAAAACCCAACCATTTCTCTTGCAATATTGGTTGGGCAGAACTGTACTGGAACTAAACATGGAATGAAAAGTCTGGCTTTTCTGCCAGCTCTATTTTTAGAGCTACTGCTCCATCTTTGCATCTGAGTTTTCTCAGCAGATGCACTGGAAGCAGGCAATTTGCTGTTATTTTTTCTGGCCAGGCTGTGATAATCCGCAAGATAAGGATGTTGGATGGAGGGCAGGGGACTCACCAGACTGGACAAAAATCCCCCTGAATACCAGGACATGGGTCTTGTTCCAGGTTTGGGGTCACTGTGGTCACAGACTCCTGAATATTTTCTGTGCTCCATTAGGAATGACCCTTCCATGCTGGAAGGGGAGTGGCTGGGCAGTGCTGGCTGGTTTATTTGTGTCCCAAGACTGCGGTCACAACTGGAATAAAATTCAGCAGCAGTAACTGCACCCAGCAGTGCTAGAGATGGATTTGGGTATGGAGAGAGGAATTGTGTTTGGCTTTGAGAGCCGATATCTGCCCTGTCTTTCAGCTGAGGCATTGCAGATGATCCAGACATATCCAGCAAGAGCCCAGAGGTTCTTGTGCTTTGCTGTGAAAAGCAGGAATAGGAGATGAAAGCTGTGCTAGCCCTGGGCTGGGACTGGCCTTCCAGAGAGCTGCCAGCAAGCAGGGACACTCTATCAGCAGGGCCCAGGGTGTGTGTGTGTCTCCCATGGCTCAGAATGCTCTGAAACCATCTCTGCCTCCTTCCTTCAGCCCTCTGAGAGGGCTCAGAGGGGTCTGGAGCCTGTGCCTGCCCTGCCCTGCCCCAGGGCCATTTACACCTGAGCTTGCAACCAGCACCAGCACTGGGGTTTTTTCTGGCTGTTGTTTTCACTTCTTGAATCACTGAGCCCGAGGCTTGGTTTTGTGTCAAATTTCACTGTTTGGGCAAAAGCTGCATCAATTTGCCCGCATGGTAATCCGTGCTCTTCAGAGGGAGGGGACTTCTGAGAACCAGAAACATGCAGGAGTTGGAGTCCAGTACATTTAATTAGGAACACTCTGTTCCAGCATAAAGCTGAATGAAGAGGAGGACCCTCTAGAAATTCCATAGGATTTACTGGCAGTAAATTCATTATTGTCTTTGCAAAAAGAAAGGCAGAAGAGAGGGATGCACCTCACATTTCTAAATTGGTGTTTGTGGTTGCTGTTCATTCAGAGCAGAGAACCCCCTGTTCCTGGGGCCAGAACATGTACAGGTATTTTTGAGCCGCAGGGAATTTTCTGCAGCTACAGGCAGTGCTAGATTCCAGCAGGAGCATTCATTTATTCCCTGCAGGATAAAGCTGGAGGAGGGTTTAGAGCAGAGGGAAGGTATAACTTCACAGGCTGGTGTTCAGCCCTGTTCCCATGCCAAGAGGCAGATGCTGAGCTGTGAGAACAGGTCCTGCAGAGAAAGCAGCTGCCTGAGCTGAAGCCTCTTGGGCTTCCCTATCAAATACCAGCTCTGCTGAGAGGGTAAGCAGGCAGAACAAGCTGCTCCTCAAAAAAAATCCTGGTCTTGTATGGCTTGACAGCACGTATGTTGTAGAGGGGAACTGGGGCAGCACTGAGGTCTGTTTTCCCTCAGCTTTTGAAAAGGATGCCTGTTTCCCCCTTGGCTGGGCTGGAAAGTCTTCTGGCAGCAGAGAACTGAGTTGGGTGACTGCTTTGGTTTCTTTACTCTGGATGGCAAACCCTGAGAGTGGTGACAAATCCCACCCTCCTGCCCATTCCCAGCTGGAGAGCAGCCTCTGACCCGCTGTGCTTGATCTTCCTGTGGATTTCCCTGCTGGATCTGCTTCACTCCTCCCTGAGCATCTCCCTCAAGCCCCCTCAGTCTACACCCAGGTGTGTTTTCAGGTGTCAACAGCCTGCAGTGGGAGCCACACCAATCCTCCTGGTAAGTGGAGGAGAGGCTGCCCCAGAGCCAGAGGAGCATTTGGGAGTCTCCTGAGGAGGTTTTTGCTGGAATGTCCTGCTGAGGGGGGAGCTGAGCTGCTGTCAGTCCTCAGGGGTGCCCACATTCCCTTGCTCCATATGTGCACACCAGCACTCAGACCCTTTGTCTGACGGACCCCACCAGGATCTGTGCTTTATAGATGTCTTGGTAGATTTAAATACCTCTTTCTTGTTTCTTCTGGTCTTTACTCACCCAGTCTGGATTGTCAGGGCTGTTTTGGAGGCATGTTATAATTAATGAATGTCCTCTGGCTCGGTGGTGTGTGTGGCCAGGGCAGGGCTGAGGTTCTGGCTGCTGTTCTGGCTCTCCTGCATGGCTGAGATGGGCACGGAGCCGTCCTTCTCCTCCCCTTGCAGAAATGTCCCTCTGGATACTTGTCAGTCTTCAGGGGGGTGTATGCTCATACAGCCCCTGCTCTGCATGAGGAGGGACTCCTGGGCTATAAATCTCTGCCTTTCAAGCACTAAACTCCCTTTTGGGTTGTTTTTGACATTAGGAATTTCCTCTGATAAGAGAACTTTATTTGCCTTTAAATATCACTTTGTGACAGGATGATGGAGTGGGGATTCTTGGAGCGAGCCTGTGCCAGCCGGGGAAGCGAAGTTCTGCTGGGGCTTTTGTTTCTCTCTAGCACTGACATTGTAGCTCTTTAAAGACTAGGTTTATTTTATACTTGGCAGGAGTGTGTGTGCACATGTCAGTGTCCAGACAAATGGGAGCAGCCCATGTTGGAGCTGTGCTGGAGCCAAGTGGGTCTCCTGCTCTCCCCTCCCTGTGGCACCTGGGGAAGAGGAGCTGTGCTGGGGTTTTTCTGGAACAGGCTTCCAAACACAGGCTGTGTTGGAGAAGCTGGTGTGTGGAATGCCTTAAAAAAAACAAAAAGAAGGATTTTGTGGTACTGTCTGCAAGGTACAGTTGGATGGTCCCTGGCTGGCAGGATGGTGTTACCCCACAAAGAGCCCAGAAGTCATTGTAGCTGGTTTGTAGTGCTAAGCCTGAGCCCCAGCACAACCTGAGCACAGCCTGTAGCCACAAAGTCTGAGCTGTGTTTGCATTCAGTGGGAGCTGAGCTCCCTAATCTGGCTCTCTGCAGCAGCCCTGTCGTATCACCATCCCTTTAGATACGGAGGATTCCGCTCCACAGGCTGCAGGAGCTGCAAAGTGCCAGCTCGTTTATTCCGCTTGGATCCCAAGAAGTTCTCTCTGCTTTTCAGGGTGCCTCAAGCAGCCAGCTAACTCTGTGTTCTTTCTTTCAGCTCTTCCACGTAGCGTATGTCCTGATCAAGTTTGCCAATTCCCCTCGTCCTGACCTCTGGGTGCTGGAGCGATCGACTGATTTTGGCCTCACCTACGAGCCCTGGCAGTATTTTGCCTGTGAGTATGACAGGGAGCTGCAGCTCAGTGCCAGGTAGTGAGGCTGTGGTGAAGATAACTCTGTGCAAAGACAGGGTTGGGTTTGGAGCTGTTCTTGTGTCATTGCTGTGATGCAGGACATGTCTTCTGTTTCATCTGCCCAATAAGGCTGCAGACTTGCAGGTTGGATGCTGCTCAGGACTGGAGAACTATTTTACTCTCTGGTACTAAATGTATTTTTTAAAATACTGTCATGACATATTGGGAGTGCCAAAGTTGGCACCAGTGTGTGCAGTTGGGTGTTGTTGCTCTAGGTCTGAAGGTAAGATTTCTTATCATCTCCTCCCTGCCCTCCTCTTTCAGTCTCTTCCCTGAAATACCATCCCAGACTGTATTTCAGCTCCTCCAGAAGCCAAGCAGCAGCTCTCTTCCAAGTGGCTGCTACCACAGAAAAGTCTGGATGCAGAAAACATTCCCTTGTGCTTATCAGTACCGGAGATTGGATCCAGGCTGTGCAGGGCAGGGAGCTGCTGTCCTGCTGCAGTGCAAGGTGGGATCAGAGACAGCTGGCTGGAAGGGAGATCCAGTCTGCGCACTTGGCTTCCCAATTCTCTGATTAAAACCTTAAGAAACAGCTGGTTCTACAAAACTCTTCTCCCAGAGGGTCTGTGGGGTAGCCGGATGCCGAGGAACTTGTTAACCACCAGCTCCTCCCAGAAGCACAGCAGTAATTGGGAGAAGATGTGAGTTAAGATCTACAGCCAGAGCTTAAAACCTGGCAAGAAAGGACTTGGGAGCACTCAGAGGTCTTGTCCTGGGCTGTCCCTAAAGGCTCATATTTCTGGCTTACCTGTCAGGCTGTGCTTTGGATTTCTGGCCTTTTCTTGTGCAAGAAGGAGCTGCAGACATTACCTCTGTGTTGCCTTAGTGTGGTAGCTGCTCTCTGGGGCAGATGTTTTTCTCTCTGCTGTGTGCTAGTAGGGAATTACTGCTGTCAAATTCCTGCTTTGCTTTCTTCTACCTTCTCTGAGAATTTCTCTGCCAGCTCTGAAGCCTCTCTTGGGGCCCATTACAGTCATGTTCCTGCATGGTTGGAGCTGCACGGGGAGCTCTTGCCTCACTGGTGTGTTCCTGTGTGTAGTGGCAGTGCTGCAACATCTGGAGTCCCCTTCCCTCCCAAAACATCAGGCCCTCTTACCCCTCCCCTGGACAAGGGAGATGCAGTGACACAGCCCAGTGGAAAATTCCCATGGAAATAAAGAGGTGGCTGCTCCAAAACCTGCCAGATTAGCAAGCACAAGAAGTCCTCTGCACAGGTTTATTTTTATCACAGGGAAATCTGTAGGTGGTCTAATAAAAACACTGCCAGGTCAGTACCAGGGTTAAAAGCAGCTGGCAGAAATGCAGGGTTTCTTCAGAGCTGCCAGTGAGCCTTGCCAGGGGTGGCACTGGCACTGTCCAGCCTGGCTCAGTGCTGTCCCTGGAGCTGCCATCACAGGAGGTGCCAGAGTGCCTTTGGGCTTTGCTCTGTGGGAGGAGAGTCTGCTGGGTGAGTCTCTGTTTCCTTAAAGCACTGCTAGAGTTTAAGGCCAATGAGTTATTCTGTTTTAGCTCAGAATGCCCAGCTTCTGGCTCGCATGGTTGTGCAGATTTTGCAATAACTGGAGGAGTTCTTTGGTTTTCCTGAGTAGCTCCTTGGGCTGAGCATCCTGTCTGCATGTGGCAGTGCTCTGGAAATCAATCATCTCGAGCCACTGGTGACATGTTCCTTGCCTGGGGCTTTAAAAATAAATGGCCTTAAAAAAAATGCCTGGTGAAGCAAACCTTGGTGGCCAGAGACCTGGTGTTAAATATTTCCACATCGTCCTGTGGATGTAACTGAGCTCTTGCTGTTGCCAAAACAGTGTTTCCCAGAGCAAGGCCATATTCTGGAGACAAGGTGTGGATGGGTGCGAGCCAGAGGTGAAGGCAAGGAGGCAGAAATTCTCTGCTCCCTCTTTGCTGTTCCTTCTGCCTGGCTCAGCCTACCCATGCAGCACATGGAGTGGGGGAGCTGCCTTCTGGAGGCACATTGAGGCAGATTTTGGAGGATTATTCTCATGAATTGGGTTAACATTTCCCCTTCAGTTTCCTGTGTGAGCTGAGCAGCGCTGGCAGGAACGGGAGATTGTGTTGGCTGCCTTTTCTTCCTTTTTCTCCCCATGGAAGCACCCTCAGGAGCACTGCAGTGACGTTCACTTCAGCAGGCTCTGCTGTGAGCTCCTGGCACAGCTGAAAAGAGAGTGGGAAGAAGCAGCAGCCTCTGTCCAGGTTCTTCCTGAGGGAGCAATCCCTGAGGGTAGCAGGATTCTGCATGGGTAGATGCAGGTGCTCACCACCCTGCACAGTCAGGCCCTGAGCTGCCCCAGCAGTGGTTTGGTTGGCTCTGCCAGCACAGGGATGTCACACATCTGGGGACAAGGGTGCTGGGCTTGCAGGAGCAGTTGTACTGGGAAGCCAGGCCATTCCTGTAGCTGCAAGGAGAGCCTTGGCATTCAGTGTCCCCAAAGCAGGTCACCAAGCCAGCAGAGTGGCTGCCTGGTGATGCCTGCTCCTTGCCTTTATCCAGCCTTGCATTGCCACTTAGTGGCAGGAGCCCTCGTTTGCTGTCCCCAAGGAGTGGCTCTTGGTGGTTTTGTATTTCTGGTTTGTGGCATTGGTTTAAGAGCTGAGTTCAGAGTAAGGTGTGAGGAGGGGACCTGCAGTATTTGGAAGAGGCAGAGCAGTGGCTTGCAGGATGTCTGCTTGTCCCTGCTTGTCCACCCTGCCTGGGGGGAGATGTCCCAGCAGTCAGTGTGGCTTGTGCTTGATCCTTTTTTCGGTTCTGTGCTGCCTTTGGGACTGACCCAGGAGGTTTAGGAGCCACATGAAATGATGGTGCAGCTCCCACCCCAGGAGCAGAGCCCTGGCAGCAAAGAGCCCTTCTGCAGTTCAGTGGAAGCAGTGTAGCAAATCCACTGCCAGCAAGGCAGCAGACTGAGACCAGAGTAAGATCTCAGGCTGGTTAAACTGTGGGCTTAATGCCAAAATTGAGGGGTGGGCTTCTCTGCAGGTGCTGGCAGTAGGTACAGTGGCTATTCTGACCTTCTTCATTTACTGCAGGGAGGTGATTTGGGGAGTTTCCTGCCTATTACTGCTAGAGTGACACCCTCCCTTAGTGGAGGACATGTATTTAGCCATGACAGAGTTTAATGACACAAAGCAATCTCTATGTGGTAAATGCTTAACAGAGATTGTACACCCATCTCTCCTGTGGTCAGCGTGGGAAAATCCATGGAGGGCTGGGAATTGTTCCTTTTCTCTTACTGCTCTCGTCTCTGGTTGGTGAACAGCTTCCAAGAGGGACTGCATTGAGAAGTTTGGCCAGCACACTGTGGACCGTATCACCAGGGATGACCACGCCATCTGCACCACGGAGTACTCCCGGATCGTGCCTTTGGAAAACGGGGAGGTGAGCAGTTCCCTGTTTCCATCTGGAGTGTCCAGGGTTACTCAGGGGCTGTTGGTACTCCTGTTAATAGGCTCCCTCTTGATTTTTGGATACCACTTAAAAGTATTCAGCTAAACCAAATGAGATTGACAGAGAGCTGATCCAGTCATCTGGAGAGAGATTGATTTCCTCCCGCCCCACAGGGTTACACAGATTTGTTCTCTCAGATTCACAGAATGGTGTGGGGTGGAACCACCCAGTTCCACCTCGCTGCCATGAGCAGATCCAGCTTCCACGAGAGCTGGCTGCTCGGTGCCCAGTCCAACCTGGCCTTTTCCCTCCTGCCATGCACAGATTGTTGTCTCTCTGGTGAACGGGCGCCCGGGAGCCATGAACTTCTCCTACTCTCCTCTCCTGCGGAATTTCACCAAAGCCACCAACATCCGCCTGCGCTTCCTGCAGACCAACACTCTGCTGGGCCACCTGATGGGCAAAGCTCTGAGGGACCCTACGGTCACCAGGAGGGTAAGGCAGGCCTTGATGCCTCGTGCTGGTGAGGGGGAGCTGTTGGAGGGCTGTGCAGGCCACCTCTGGGGAGGAGAGGGACACCCTGGGTGTTGCCTGTGGGGATTTTCTCTCAGTCCTGCAGCCCCTAAAGCTGAAGGCACCTGCAGCAGATGCTGCTGTGGCTGGAGCTGGAGGCTGCTTGGCAAGACACCAACAATGTGGAACTGGGAAACACCTCTTGGTGTCACATGTGGCTTTCTGGCTGTGCTGGGAGCCCCCCACTCATAGCTGGTGGGCTCTGAGGTGGTGGATCTTACCACAGGCAGATTCTGCAGCCTGCAGTGTTTGTAAGGGAAATAGCCCAACACATCATTTTACTGGGTAAAGTCCTGCTGAATCTTGACTAGAATGGTTATGAATCTGGTTTGTAAAAATAGTAATGGCCAACTTTGCTTGTGCTTTGCAGTACTACTACAGCATCAAGGATATCAGCATCGGAGGGCGCTGCGTGTGCCACGGCCACGCCGACGTCTGCGACGCCAAAGACCCCAACGACCCTTACAGGTACCTTCTGCAGAATCCCATCCTGTGGGAAAGCATTTGAACTGCTGTTCTGAGAATGAAAGATGATCCCAGAGTTAGTGGTGTCCTGTCCTGAGCTTGTAATGGTGCCATCTCTGCTGTTCGTGTCTCTGCCTTGAGAAAGGAGCAGAAACTGCTCCAGACAAAGTAGCAAAAATCACACATTTTGTCAGAGTATTTTTCAGCCAGGTTAGTTTCCTGGTCGAGTTTCCCTGTCCACAGCTTTGCCATCCCACTGGAGCAGAGTGTGAGAATGATAAGGAGGGATACTGATGTAGAGCAGGGAGGTTTTCCATCAAAGTCCTGGGATAATTTCTGAGCTGGAGCAGAGGAGTCTCCTGCTTCCCATGTGGCTTCCTAAGCATTGGGACAATGCTGTCATAAATAGATGTTCTTCCTTGAAACCAGAGACTGCTTCCCATTTCTGCTCAAAGAACCATAGATGGGTTATGTACATATCTGAACAACTCTTTGCAAAAGAATAAGAATGTGTAAAGAAGTTACATTTTGGCCAATGGAATTTCCCATCTGCCTTGGGAACTTGGAATGCCAAAGAGCTTCTTCAGACCATGAAAGTGTTGCTTTTAGCCATCTGTTTGCAGCTTGAATGTTGCCTTTATGAAGGCGGTGGGTAGATTCATCTGGACGAGGGGAGCTTGTATTTCTTTCTCATCAGGATCATGTAGAACTTTTGGATCGTCTAAAATAAAATTCCAGTGAGTCCCAGCCAAGGTTAAAGCTGTTAAGTATTAAAACAAAGATGTATTGGTAAGCAAGCCTGCCTGAGTGTTCCAAACTCTCTGACAAAAGGAAGTTCATAAATATTTGAATGTACAGTTCCTGTTTTTCAGACATTGGTGTTGCTGGATGCAAAGTGCACCTGTGTGGGGTAAAAGGCTTCATGGGGACAAGTGATTCTTTGACATGGAAATGCCAGGACCTTTCTTGGGTATATCAATGGCTTGGGGCTCTCCAAGAAGGGAGGGAAGGTTGAACAAGGAGAGATAGCTTGGATATCCTTGTTCACTGCCACTTCTGCTTGCAACCGTCTCTGTCTCCCGAAATTCCTCTCCTCCACTCTCATGTGGATGCATTTGGCATCTTCACTCTTGGCCCCAGCCTGTTGTCTGCTGTTGCAGCACATGTTGGTAAGCAGCTGTTGCATTTCATCCAGAGCAGATCACTGGCCTGAGGGAGGAAACATCTCCTGCCTGTGTACTTTGTACAGTCAGAGCATAACAGCTGTAAGTCCTTTGGGATACAGCAGGAAAAGGTGCTGGATAAATAGATCCTCTCATGGCATTGCTGTACCCTTTAGCAAGCCCAGGAGCACAGGCAAGTCAGCAGAAATCTGATACTTTCAGTTGAGAAAATGAGTAATTGATGAAATGCTGCCATTCTGCAGGCTGTGGGAGCAGCTGTGTCCAGCCTTCCCATTGAAGTGGGCACTGCTGGGCAGGATCCCAGCCCCCCTGCCCTGACACAGCCCAGAGCCAGCTTGGGCATATCTGTAATGCCACATCAGCTGTGGCTCAGACACACTGTCCCCTTGAGACACAGGCCCAGCTACCAGGACCTCGTCATGTCTTCAGCAATCTGTGTGGTGTGCCTGTGCACATGTCCTGCCTCTTCAGAATCTGATGTGTGGCAGCAGCTGGGCAAGGAAATGCAAATAAAGGGATGTGGATAGGTCTGGCCCTATTGAAAATCCCACAATCTCAGCCTGTTGTAGGGGGAGGTCTCTGCTCTCGATTTTAACTTCTCTCTTCTGCACATCCCCACGTTTCTTGTGCCTATTGCTCAGAAAGGCAGGATGAGCACTTTGGTAGAGGTGAGGTGAGCTAGAAATCTTGGCAAAGACTTCAGGATGTGATGAAGCGTGTCCATGAGCTGACTTCGTGGCCATCAGTGATAACATTCGTGCAACTTTGGAAAGTTTGTGTGAAGTGCCAAGCTGCAGAGGCTGCACATCCAGCTGTGTTGAGCTGGCAGCACATCTGGGCCGTGTGTGAGTGTTTTCAGGGACCTGTGAGCAGGTACAGCTGCCTCAAGGCTCTCTGCACTTCTCACAGCTTTCTGTCTTTGCCCTGAGCTGGAATGAGCTGAGTGAAGCAGAGGGAAGCAATGTTCTCCTGCTCAAAGGTGAACACCAGCAGGACGAGGCACAGCCCTTTCTCCTGGCAAACCCTTGGAGCAGTGAGATCAGAATCATCAGGAGCCTGCAGAACCCAGACAGGAGTTGTGTGCTAACAGAATGAGTGAGCTCAGGAGAAGCCTGCAAGGGTTCTGCATCTGTCTGATAAGAGCAGCTGTTTCTGTGGCTTCACTGCCCCGCCACAGATGCCACAGGCAAGAGAGGAGACGAGCAGAGAGTCCAGCTGCTCCTTCTGTGCCTGATGCTGAAGGTAATCACAAAGGCAGCAGCAGCCTGGCTGGTCAGAAGCACATCCACAGATGAAGGATGCTTTCCCACTGCTGCAGCCTGCACTCCAGCTTCCCCTTTCCCATTTGGAAGGCAAAGCACCGTGTGTGCCAGCAGATCTGTGCCATCTGTCAGGCTCTCTCTGCAGGTGGTTTTTTCTCTCCGTACAGTCAGAAACAGAGGAAGGGGCTTTTTGTTCCCCCTTGATTGTGCTCCTCAGCTGTCCCAGCCAAATCCAGATGCTGTAGTGTTTGTGTGCTGCTCTCAGTTCTGCCACAGCTGCTGACTGGAAACTGTTTAGTCTCTGCTGTTGAGCATCAATTCCAGCGGAGGACTGCGGTTTCATTTTTTACAGCAGGATGACCAGGAAATATGTGCTGTGTGGACACAGCCGCTCCCTCTTCTCCCTTGTATATACTCAGTCAATGAAACATGTAAATATTGTGGTTTATGCACATTTGTCTGTAATTCATTAGCAGCACAGACTCGGCACAAGGTGCAGTAAAGCTGTAATAGATGAGCTCTCTGAGAGGTCATCGCTAACTCTGAACAGCAGAGACTAAATAAATACCTCCTTCTCCCTCTGAAATGAGCATCTTTACTCATGCAGTGCCATCTTCTTGCATTCTGGGAACTGAACCAGTTCTTTTCAAACATCTTGAGCCTTAAGGAGCGTGGGGTGTGTGGCTGGAGCCACGTCCTCCGGTCAGGGAGATGAACACTGCTCAGCAGGTTTATAAGTTCCCTGACTCAGTGACTTATCTTTCTCCACACGCATGTATATGGATCTTAATCTTCATCTCCAGCTGCTGCTGTGGAAAAAAACAATAAAGTCTTGTTTCCTTGAAAGTGCTGAGTGGTGGTCAGCCAGGTGAGAGGTCTGTGGGTGGCTGCATTCCAGGGACATGGCCAAGGTTTGCCTCTCATTGAGACTCCCCCTTGGGTGTGCAGAACACTTGAAGAACAAAGTTCCTAGTGGATATTTCAGAGCTGTTTTCTGCCACTTAAGCTCCAGCCAGGGGTTCAGTTTCATGGCTGGACTCTACCAGCCACAGCCCAGCCTGTGAATGTGGGCAGGGATGGGGCATGGCGAGTGCTAGAGAACTGACTGCAGCCAAATGTCCCGTGGCATCTGCAAGGGAAGGGCTGGGAGCAGCCCTGGCACCTTCTGCCTCTCAACCCCTCTGCCTGAAGCAAACATGCTGAGTGTGAGTCCTACTTGCATTCCCCCGAACTTTCAGATCATCCCATTATTTTCATTAAAATGAGGTCACTTGTGCTGCTGCCTCTGTCTGGCAATTCAGTATACATAGACTTGCAGGTCTTAAAATTACATGTAGGTGGAAACTGTGGCACTCAGCTCACTGCAGAGTGTCTGCACTCCTACACTTCACCCTGAATGACTGCTCCTTTTGTTTCTAACGTTTTAAAAGAATTACATTTATTTTTAAACACACTGCTTTTTGAATGGAAAAGCATTGGAGGAGGAAGAGATGGGAGTGGCAGACTGGCCCTGAGGGGAAATGAGTAATTGCACAGATAAAAGCTGGAACATGCTGTATTATCCATAAGTCTAATACAACAGAAAGCATTTGTGTTGGATGGGAATGGCCCTGTGCTAAGTGGAGGCTTTGGGGCTGATGTCACTGACGTTAATGAATCACCCTGGTGGTGGGGCAGGGATCCATCGGGTGCCTGTCGAGATTCCTTGCCCTGTTGAGATTGTTTACCCAGCACAGCCCTGCCTGGAAAGCAGGAGCTGCAGCCCACAGGGAGCGTGGGGCCAGCATCTACTGAAATTCTTAATTCAAATTTCATGCCCTCCTCCCTGCAGCACAGGTGTACCTGGAGGGGCAGACAGCACTTGTGTGGCCCCATCCCTCTCCAGGTTCTGGGCTATCATCTTTTCCTTTCATGCTGCCCCTGCACAGTGGTGGGGACATCTTTGTGTCCCTGCACCGTGCTACACTCTCTCAAGTAATCAGCTTCAGCTCAGTTTCTACCATTGCCGCCTCCAACCATTTCACATTTTGTTCTCTGCAGAGCTGGCTAGGCAGTGGCACATGATTTTGGCTGATTTTCTAAAAGTTTTGGCTGATTTTTTTTTTTTGGAAAATCATGTCTCATTTTTCTCTTTTCCTTGTCTCCCTATGAAGAAAAAAAGGAATGATGGTAGAGGAGAAGAAGGGGAGAGAATGCAGCTGGAATAGCAAAGTTTGGTGTTTGTCTCAGAAAAAAACAAATCAGTTAAAAAGTTGGAAAAAAAGCCTTAGAAGCCACTTTCCAGAATACTGGGCTGGCTGATTTTCTAAAAATTTTGGCTGATTTTTTCTGGAAAATCATGTCTCATTTTTCTCTTTTCCTTGTCTCCCTATGAAGAAAAAAAGGAATGATGGTGGAGGAAAAGAAGGGGAGAGAATGCTTCTGGAATAGCAAAGTTTGGTGTTTGTCTCAGAAAAAAACAAATCAGTTAAAAAGTTGGAAAAAAAGCCTTAGAAGCCACTTTCCAGAATACTGGGATTAGCAAATACCACTCATTTATGTACCAGATCAGTGACAGTGATACACAGCAGGGTCTCACACAAATCAGTTAAAAAGTTGGAAAAAAAAAAGCCCTAGAAGCCACTTTCCAGAGTACTGGGATTAGCAAATACCACTCATTCATGTACCAGATCAGTGACAGTGATACACAGCAGGGTCTCACAGCAGCTCCCCATCCCACACATCCCTGCCATCACCCCAGCCTTGTCTGTGCCCCTGTCCCCGCAGGCTGCAGTGTGACTGCCAGCACAACACCTGTGGTGGCTCCTGTGACCGCTGCTGCCCCGGCTACAACCAGTTCCCCTGGAAGCCTGCCACCGCCGACAGCGCCAACGAGTGCCAGCGTAAGTGGGGCTGCCCTGGGTTTGCAGACAAGGGGAGACATGAGGGAATCTGACTCCATGTTCTTAGAAGGCTATTCCATTCTGTTCTATTCTATTATGCTATACTAAAACTATACTAAAGAATAGAGAAAGGATGCAGACAGAAGGCTTAACAAGAGTGGTAATGGAAAGTTGTGACTCTCTCTTCCAGAGTCCCCGACACAGTTGGCTGTGTCTGTTCATTAAGTAAAAACAATCCACATGAAACCAATCAAACAACCCACCTGTTGGAGAAGCAATCTCCAGACCACATTCCAAAGCAGCAAAACACAGGAGAAGCAATCAGATAGAGATTGTTTTCATTTTTCTCTGAGGCTTCTCAGCTTCCCAGGAGAAGAAATCCTGGCAAAGGGATTTTTCAGGAAATATGATGGTGGCAGGGCTGGGCTTTCCTTTCCTGCCAGGCACAGCTCCTACTCTGCTGCAGAGCAGCTGCTGCACTGCTGGGGCTGGTGCTGAGTGGGACTGGGTGACACCAAGTGACACAGCAGCGGGACTGTGCACAGCAGGGGTTGCTGTTCAGGTGAGGCTCACACAGGGAGGTCTCCGAGGTTCCTTTGGCTCTGCTTGCCTTCCAGCTCCTCCAGCGTGTCCAAGGGTTCGTGCAGGCAAGTCTCGTTGCTCAATCCTGTCTGCAAGATGAATTAGGTTTGGATGTGTTTACATACAGGACATCTTTATTTGTCCAGAGAAACCTTTGGTCAGCACAGCAGGTGTTGCTGTTCAGGTGAGGCTCACGCAGGGAGGTCTCCGAGGTTCCTTTGGCTCTGCTTGCCTTCCAGCTCCTCCAGCGTGTCCAAGGGTTCGTGCAGGCAAGTCTCGTTGCTCAATCCTGTCTGCAAGATGAATTAGGTTTGGATGTGTTTACATACAGGACATCTTTATTTGTCCAGAGAAACCTTTGGTCAGTGCCGACAGTGGAATTTCTGCTGCACTGGGAGTGCAGAGCACAGAGCTGCACCAGTGTCTTAGAAGCACAGGGTGGCAAAGGATCTTAAATCCTGGGAGTTTCTAAAGCCCCCTCACCTGGTGCTGGATTTTACAGCTCACCTCTGTCCAGGGTGGGATAAAAGAGGCAAGAATGTTGCTCTCTAAAGCAGACTAGTGGAGGCCCCACAGCGTGGTGACTTTTCTTTCTCGTCCATACACGCCTGCACATACTTTACTTGTGATTTTGTGCCCGCTGCACTCTCCTGGTTGCAGACCAGACTTTGTGAAGGAGTTGCTGCTTCTGTGCTTTTGAGCTGAAAGACTTCAGAGAGCTTGGGAGATCATGTAACCCCCCAGATGCATTCAGGCATCTTTCCTCAGGGAACACCAACCCATCAAACCCAGGAGGGAGAGGTGGCACCTTGAGATGCAGCTGCTGACTGAAGGACCTCTGATGGGTGGTTTATCTCCCTTCTCTCTGTGTTCCAGCCTGCAATTGCAATGGCCATGCCTACGACTGCTACTACGACCCGGAGGTGGATCGACACAAAGCCAGCAGGACTCGTGAGGACAAGTTTGAAGGGGGAGGTGTTTGCATTGATTGCCAGGTAGGCCCAAAGAGCTTCTCTGGAAGAGGCTGTTGCAAATGTTGGTGTTTGTTTCTGCTGTCAGACTGGAGTTCAGCCTCCTGGGAGCTCTCCACCAAGCCCCTCTGTTATCTAAATTAGGTCTCTGCCTGGAAATTTAGTCTCTTTGCTGTGGATTAAAGGAGTGTGCACCAGTAATGAGAGCAGCACCTGGGTTTCTAGGTGTTCCCTAGTAGCACCACTATCTCCTAAAGGTTTAGTTTGCTGAGATACCGGAATTGGGAGGGACAGGTTGCTACCCAGCACATTGTGTAATCCCTGCCTAGTTCACAGTGCTCTGGCATCTCCCTGGATGTGTCTCTGCCCACCAAAGTGCCAGTCTTCAGTCTCTGTGAAGGTGGGAAAGCAGCTCTTCCCTTCCCAAGGTGACGGTGACTGTGACATGGTTAATTCATGCACTGGCATGAAACTTCTGGCTGTGCCTCCTTGCTGGGAGGAAACAGATTGCTCCCATCCTTCAAGCACAAAATGGTCAGGACATTTTACCACCTGAAAGAAGTGAAATGGGCTCAAGGTCAGATATGAACCTGAAACTCACACTGTGCTTATGGGAGGATACAGTTGGCTGGAAGTGCTTTGTTCCCAACTTGGTGTATGTGGAATTTTGAGCAGATTTAGGACTTTGGTGTGCTGCTGCTCCTGAGCTGCCTCCTGTAACCTGTTAGTAAATCTGGCAGATGAATGTGAATCCTGCAGGCAGAGGAACTGATGCCTCTGTAACCCACTGTCTTGCAGCACCACACCACTGGCATTAACTGTGAGAGGTGCATCCCTGGCTACTACCGATCCCCCGACCACCCCATCGACTCCCCTTACATCTGCTACCGTGAGTGTGACCTGCTCTGCAGTGACATCCTGCTGGCCTTGGTGGCACTGGGGAGGGCACTCCAGAGGGTTGGGCTGGGAGGTTTTCCTGCTGCAGGCAGTCTGAGGCCTCAGTCAGTGACACTGCTGCTGGCTTGTCCCTCTCTGCAGGCTGTAACTGTGAGTCCGACTTCACCGACGGCACCTGCGAGGACCTGACCGGGCGCTGCTACTGCAAACCCAACTACACTGGGGAGCACTGCCACGCCTGTGCCGAGGGCTACCTCGACTTCCCCCACTGCTACCGTGAGTGGGGGTTCACAGCTGGGAGCCCACGCACCCAGCAGCTGTGGGAAGGGCCAGCAGCTCCAGCTGTGCCTCTTGGGGTGTGCTTTCCCCATGGCACTCCTGTCCTAGGAGTTCTTTCAGGTGGGCACAAGTCCACATTTGGCTTGGGTGGGAGCTGCACCAGAGCTGAGCTGCTCTGAGCAGAGTCAACAGGAGCTTCCCATTTGGCTGGAGTTTCATCTCCCACTTTCTTATGAAAGACAGGCTGAAAAGGGCTGTAATGGTTTGTTGTTTAGTGGAACATCTGTGTTTTGTTCCATGATCCACATTTTTATTCATCCTGTCCAGCTTTGGGACTGTCAGTCCCTGATATTCCATCAGGATTTCTGTGAGTGTGTGTGCTGACCTGTGCAATGTTCTTTCTCTGCACAGCCATTCCAGCTTTCTCTCACAACAGTACTGGAGAACAAGTGCTTCCTGCAGGACAGATAATAAGTAAGCAATGCAATTTTCCTTGATGCTTTGGCAATGCTGTCATTTCTGTTATACCTCCCATCCAATGCAAGATCAGGTCTTCAGCTTACTGGGCACATACATTGTATGGGGCAGCCCTGAGTGGTTTTGAGAGAGTACAACCAGCAGCTGAGTTGAGGGGAAAGGAAGTTTTATGATCCCGTTTTTACAGATGTGGAAACTCTAGCCTAGAGTGACAGTGTGATTTTTTTCTGGGGTCCAGGCCATGTGGGGATGTCCCTTCTGCCCTCCCTGTGAGGAGCCTCCCGTAAAGGTCACAGAGGGGCTGCTGTGGCTGAGCTGGGAGCTCTGCTGTGGGGTTGTGCACAGGCAGCCACTCGCTCTGTGTCGCTTCCTCCGTTGTTTAGAAAGCTCATCCATGCTCTCATCCCTGCTCCCCTCCACCTCCCTCCTCTCTCATGCTCACTCCTCTTGGTTCATCTACTCCCTTGTGCTTTTTTCTGCCTCTTTTCCCACAGAATCCTCCCCTGTCTCATGCTCCCCAACACGCTCCAGATAACCTTTTCCTTCCTTCTGATATTTTGAAGTCTGTATCTTCCAGACAGGTTTTTTCTTTCCTGAGCTGGAATTTCTCACTTCCCTTCTCATTTCCTCACCTCCCCCTCCCTCTGCTTTTTGGCTGATGTTTGTCCTTGCCTCTCCCAGCCCAGCACCCCACACCACTGCTGTTGGTGACAGCAGGGCTGGCTCAGAGCCTTGGCACTGCCTGCCTGGAACACGCTGCCCTGGAAGTGGGAAGGTCTTGGGTGCAGCTGAGCGTGGAGTGACCACATAGAAAGCCCAGAGTTCACCCTGATTAGCCAAAGGCCCTGGCTGTTCCCACACAACACTGACTCAGCTCTGTCTGGGCTTGTGGAAGCAGCATTTGCCTGCCCTGTGTGTTGCCCTGCTGCCCACCCTGCACCTTTCACAGCAGCGTGGTGCTGAGGCCTCCCAGCCACCCCGGGAGCCAGGCGTGGGTTGGTTAAAACATTCTTATCTGATAGGAAGGTTATGGAAGCATTCCTGAGCATTTGAGCTGCCTCAGGGCAACTCCTGCCGTGTCCTTGTGGGACCTCAGAGCTGGACTGACAGCCGTGTGTGGTGTCTCTTGTGTGTCCCCATCCAGACTGCGACTGCTACGCGGGTGGGACAGAAGGCAACGCCTGTCGGAAGGACCCCCGGGTGGGGATGTGTGTGTGCAAGCCCAACTTCCAGGGGACACACTGTGACCAGTGTGCCCCAGGCCACTACGGGCCCAGCTGCCAGCGTGAGTACCCGGCGGGCAGCGTCCCCAGGCTCGCCCTGCTGGGCTTCTCCCTCTTCTCCACCCGTGCTGGGGAGGAGGAATTCCACAGCTCTACTTCCAAGTGATAAATTCCCATGACTTCTGCACTTTTGCTGTTGTTTTCCACCCAGCCCTGACCCTCCAGCATCCTCCCAAGCTGTGGGGGACTCTGGAGGAATTGGCTATGGACATGAGCTATGGGCCAGGCATGCTTGCTGTCAGCTCTGTTCTCCATGCTTTCTCCAGCAACTGCTCTTCTACCCCAGAGGAACAGATGCTCTGGTTCCTTTCTCGGGAAGGCTAAAGACAAAAAAACCTGCTGATTTACTAATGCCCTTGTTGCTTTGCAGCCTGCCAGTGCTCTGGCCCTGGTCAGTACGATGGCACGTGTGACAGCGAGACAGGGCAGTGCCTGTGCCGCACAGGGTTTGAAGGGCACTCGTGTGACCAGTGTGCTCCAGGCTACTTCAACTACCCTCTGTGCCAGTGTGAGTATCTGTCCTTCACAGGCCTGGCTGGGGACACAGCCAGAGTCCTCTGGCAGGGGACTGAAGGACTGGAAGTTGGTTTTGGAGAATATGTGCCGTGGGCAGAGCCTGATGGTGTGAATGCTTAGAGCAGCACCTGATGCCTATCTGAGAACCCCAGGAAAAAGGCATTTTGCCATGAGCTCTGCCCCATGCTCCCAGCTCAGGAGGTGGTTTCTGTGTCTTGCAGTGTGTGGCTGCAGTGCTGTTGGGACGCTGCCAGGAGGCTGTGACTCTGCTGGGAATTGTTTCTGCAGAGCCGAGTTTGCTGGAGGATGTAAAAATCATGTAGATGTGGCACTTGGGGACGTGGTTTGGTGGTGGGCTTGGGGGTGCTGGGGGAGCAGTTAGGTGATGATCTTAGAGGTCTTTTCCAACCTTAATGATTCTCTGATCCCACCCATTTCCCTGGGCACTGCATCACTCCTGGACTAGTGCTGCTGGTGCCAGGACTGAGCAATGCCTGTGGCAGGTGCCTGCAGCCCCAAATGCTCTGACCAGCCTCCCCAGCTCTGAGCAGAGTGTCCCCATCTCCCTCCCTGTCAGCAGTCCCAACTAGAAGCCAGATGTACTCTTATGTCTCCCTGCAAGAATTTACTGCTCATTAAAAAGTAATCCGTGATATAATTTCCGTGAAGCAACAAAAGAGCATCATCACCCTCTTGCACAGTACTAAATGTGGACTCCTGAGCCTTGCCAGCTGGCAGAACTCTCCTCCCAAATGCTGATGCCGGCAGTATGCCTTTGAAGAGGCTGGAGGCAGAGATGAAATGGTCTCACAGGAGTCCAGTAGTCACTTTTTTTTTTTTTTTGGTCTCATAAAGCCATAGCCACATTGCAGAGCTGTAGAAGACCCACAGCAAGGAAAGAAAAGAACCACCTGATTTTTATATATTTTTTTAAATCTGTTGTTTCCTGAGCAGTCTTTAGCTGTTAGCCAGTGTGGGGGTGTCAGCCTAGAACGTCTCCTTTGGCAGGGATTTGAGGTGTGCTGGCTGGGCAAGGAAGGCATGGGCAGCTCCCTGGCAGCTTGCTGACCTTTCCTGTGATAGGGCAGTGGGATCTCTGTGCATTCATGGGCAGCAGGTCGTGCAGAAGCTGTGGAGCCGTTGCCCTGCCCTCACCCTGCTGCTCACATCCAACATCCACAGGGCAGACCCTGATGGCCAAATGCTGTTCTGGAATGTTTGGGATTTTGTAGGGTCTGATTTGTCACTGGCAACTGACTTTTAAGGAATGAGATCACACCCCTTCTCCTCAACCAAAACTCTTCCCTGCCTCTGAAATACACATAAATGTATGTGAATGGCTGTGATAAGCATTGAGACTTCTATTGTTTTTCTTAAAAGATGGGGCAGTTTTAACCAAAAGCAAAGAATGAGAATTTTATTCATACATATTTATTTATACCAGCCACGTCTGGCTGTTTTTGGCGAAGGTCAGGCGGACAAAAGAGGCTGTTGCTGGGAAGCCCTGAATGCCCCTCCAGCAGTTCTCTCCCCTCTCTTGCAGCTTGCCAGTGCTCCCGGGAGGGGTCCCTGCACGGCACCTGTGAGCAGGACACGGGGCAGTGCAGCTGCCGCCCGCGGGTGACCGGACTGCGCTGTGACAGCTGCGTGCCCGGCGCCTACAGCTTCCCCCGCTGCGAAGGTAGCCCCTTTTCCCTGATCTCTTGGCACACTCCGGTCTCTTGGGTGCTGGTAAATGCGTTTAGCATCACCCAAAATGTTTGCAAGGGGAGAAGTAACCCCCAGTTAGGGACAGCTAAGGGGTGGCAAGTGTTATAAATCTGTTCTTTTACTCCTTTTCTAGTGGGCTCCTGTAACCCAGCAGGGCTGGAGACTGCAGATCCCTCACTGGCCCCAGTGAGTATGAAATGAACCTCCCACAACCCCTGCCTTTTGTGTGATCTACTTTATCTCTTTTTGGGCCAAGTCCTTCCTTAAGCTCAGCCAGAGCAGCAGACCCAACGTTCAACCACTGTGCTTCAAATTCTCACCTGTTCTTTTCTCCCCCTGCCTTTCCCCAGGGCTCCTGTGCATGTCGGGCATACGTGGAAGGCCCAGCTTGTGACAGATGCAAGCCTGGATACTGGAACCTGACTCCAGAGAACCCCTATGGCTGCCTGAGTAAGGAAATGGCATTTGCACAGCCCACAAAAGTCCCCTCCATGGTGCAGGAGCCAAACCCAAGCCAGTGAGCACCATCACTGGAGAATTGGAAGTGATAGCCTTCCTTCCATCTTTACCCAGAAGTGATGTGTCAGAGCTGGAGTCTTCTGGGTAACCCTCACGTGGAAAGGGGAAAGGCCAGAGCCTGGAGCTTTTTGCTTGGGATGAAACATAGGGCTCATGCAATGAGTTATGCCATTCTCAGCCCTCCATACAGACACCTAATTTTTCATGGCCAAATATGCAGAAAAGGCAAATGTCTTTGATGGCTGCATCCTCAACTGTAGCTGTCCAAAATGAAATCTGAGCCCTTGCGCAGGGCTACTTTCTGCTTGACCAGCTCCTGGCTCCTCTTACCCCAACCAGTGTCCTCTGGTGTGGTGGGTGCTGACCCCATCAGGCTTCTTCTCAGGGGCTGATTGACCTTCTGGCTTTCCTGTTCATCTCCCTCTCCTCAGGCTGCAAGTGTGACACCAAGGGCACCGTCAGTGGAATCACAGAGTGCCGGCAGGTGGGTTTGTTCTCTGCTCCCAGGCTCCTCTGAGTGTGCTGTGTTGGGAGTGTTCAGCTCTGTCTGTCCCAGCCGCTGCTGGAGAGGCCCCAGCACTGAGCTCTCAGCGCTTGCACCACAATCTGGGCTTGCATGAGAATGTGGGATTAAGACCTGTCATAAATTAGGCACCTAAATATTTCTGGGTCTGTCCCAGGATGCCTGGATTTTTGTTTGCCTGCATTGTTGGGTAATTTAAGTTATCTGGCCCTTATCTGGCCCACCCACGCACAGGAAGCCGTGTGGAGCATGAATCTCAGACTGCTGCTCCTGCAGTGTCTCAGACCAGAACCCAAATAACTGAGGAACAGCTTAGCCATGACAAGCAACAGCAGGGAATGAGTTTCCATGCCTGCTTCTCTCCCAGGGCGATGGGCAGTGTTTCTGCAAAGCCAACGTGTGTGGGCAGTTCTGCTCGGCCTGCAAGGACGGCTACTTCAACATGGAGAATGCAAATTACTTCGGCTGCCAAGGTGAGGCCCTTCTGTGATGTGTTTGGGGAGTGAGGGGGCCACAAGAACTGACCCCACTGCCCAGACTGACTGGTTGGTGACCTTGGAGAAAAGGGGAAGAGATGTCCCACCTTCTGTTTTGTGTCATCACTTTTGGGGTGATGCGGTTAAGTGCTGGGTTGATGGTCAGAATTCAGAGATCTTTTTGTCCCTTCCAACCTTGGCTCTATGATTCTATAACACAACCCAGAGCATGGGAATTACTGTGGCTCTGGAGACCTGAGGTCGTGCTTCTTCACTGTTGGACACAGGTCTGTCAGCCTGGGGAGAGAAAAGCCAGGTGAGGTGCCCCTTTGGGTACCAGAAACTGGTGTGTTTGAACCAGTGGTCACATCCTTGCAGCAACACCCCTTCCTCCTGCTGGGAGAGGGTGGGCATGGATACGTGGGCTTGGCCACGCTCCCCCGTGTCCATGGGAAGAGGCAAAGGAGGGGATGGGCTGCTCTGAGCCATCCATAGCAGCGCTGGCAGGGCTGCACGCCGGCCGTGAGGGTTTGCAGACCTTGTTCCACCAGCCGCCTGGAAATAGCTCCGCGCTGAGGTGGAAGACGTGTCCATCCAAGTGGGGCCGGGGCCAAATATGAAAACGGATACAATGGAATAAAAATAGTGGCCGCAGGCTCCCCGCCCGCTGGGATGTGCCTTTGATTAGCGACCAGGAGCTCGTTAGCGCGGCGGGAATGTAAACAGGCGCTTCCTGCCGCAGGCTGCCGGTGCGACGTCGGCGGGGCCCTGGGACCGTCCTGCGAGGCGCGGAGCGGAGCCTGTCGCTGTCGGCAGAGCACACGCGGTCCCACCTGCACCCAGTAAGCTGCACCTTGGCATGCTCTGCCTCCCGCGGTGTCCTCTGCCACCACGGGGCTGGGGACTCATCGCCTGGGCTGCTGTCACATCAGCCTGGCGGAGGTGTCCTCCTGCCGCTCGCTCTGGGCAGCCCCGCAGGTAACGGTGTTCCCTCTTCCCCAGACCAGCACAGGATCATTATTTCCCTGACCTTCACCACTTGAAATTCGAGCTGGAGGAAGGCACCACGCCATCCGGCCGGGCTGTGCGCTTTGGCTACAACCCCTTGGAGTTTGAGGGCTTCAGCTGGCGAGGCTATGCACAGATGTCCTCCATCCAGGTACGCCTGCTGGCTGCAGCCCAGCCCGGCTCCCCGCGGGGAGGATGTGGCCAATGGAAGACTGATGTGCTTTTGGCACACATCTTCCACCCCAAGTGCTCCTGAAACCCCCAAAGTCACAGGATGGCCAACATAAACAGCACAGTGTATATATAGCCTGTTTGTGCAGATACTTCCTGTAGTGCTGGGGGTGGCATAGACTGATGAGGGGAAAGATCCTAAACTGGGAATCCCATGACATCCTAGTCTATTTAGACAAAGGTGGTAGCATGGTGATTACTTACAGGGATGTCTATAAACACTGTCTCTCAGTTTCCTTGTTCCTCTTTCAACTGACTCTGCATAACCTTTCCTCCCTTTTCCAAAAATAAGTATCTCCTCCTCAGCTGCCATGTTCAGCTTGGACCTCTTGTTACCCTTCAGCCTTTGCCCTTGCTGTTAGCTGGTTTGCTGTAGCAATGGTTTATGCTAACCTGGAGTTGTGTAAGCCCTAGAAATGAAGCTGTTTCTTCTGTTGACTCTTTTTCTCTCCTTGGTGTTTTCTTCTGCATGGCCTCTGCGAAGTGTGTGCACGTTTGGGGATGGAGTACAGGGCAGTGATTCTCTGACAGTCTTGTTCCATGTAAGATGCTCCTTACTCTGGTGCATGTACTTTCAGTTTTCTTCACATTTTTGTGCTTAGGTGAAATAACAGAGGGGTTGTTTCCCACTGAATTTTAGGTAGGAGCTAAGCAGTGAACTTCTGTGGGGCTCCCTTGAGAAAATCCCAGCCTTAAAGCTTAAGGATGGAGCTCATGCTCAAGCTCATAGCTGCAGTGTTGAATTGGTGTTTGAGCTAGAAATGGATCTTGATAGAAGGGCTGACACGTGGCTTTTAGCTGGCAGGTCTCACCTGTAATTCATTATCATCAAAACCTTTCCAGTTTGCTCTCCATGGGAAGATGGGGAGCTTTGGAGAGCACAGCCCAATAAAGTCTCCCTGGGCAGGAGGTTATTTAAGTCTAGGATCTTTGAAATGGGTCAGACCTGAGCATCTCCTTAGCCAGGGTCTTGGCAAGCAGTGTCCAGGCAGGAGGAGAGCAGATGTCCCATCAGTTGCATGGCCCATTAGCCCTGCTGGTCCTTAGCACTGCACATTTCTGAGGATGAGGCACCAGCTCAATTCCCAGCCTCTTCTGTAGGCAGCTGGGCAGAGCCCCATCAATACAAGGGCAGGAGTTTGGTACCTGGTGGCTGGTTGCAGCACACTGATAACAAAAGCAACCACTTCCTATAACCTTCCCGTGTAATTGTGTGTGCTCCAGGACACCCTGCTGTGCCACAGCATCCTCCAGGTGTGATCACAGCCTTCCCACCCCCTTCCACAGGCAGGTTGCTCCCTCAGTGGCTGTCCCCAAGCGTCCCCAGAGCGAGGCACAGTGTCAGGAGGTGCCGTGAGCAGTAGGGTCCGCGTGCTTGTCTCCTCCTCGCGCTGTGGCATGTTGCTTTGGGAGCAGTGAGCCGAGGGCTGCGCTTGGGCTGGCAGAGAGGGTGGTGGAGGTAACTGAAGGTGTGCTCTGCTTCTCTCCCCTTTCTCTCTCCCACCAGCCCAAGGTAGTGGTGACTGTCAATGTGACCTCCCCCGACCTCTTCCGCCTCGTCTTCCGCTACGTCAGCCGGGGGCCCGCCAGTGTGGAAGGGAGGGTCTCGGTCGTTGAGGAAGGAAAGTTTAATGTTTGTGCCAACTGTAAGTGCATTTTTCACTTCTAGACTAACTCAGAGCGTCCCACGCTGCGACACTGCTCCTCTGCCCCTTCTCCTGGCCCAAGGTGTGTCTGTCCCGAGTGTGCCCGTGTCAGGTGGCCGGCCAGAGCCGTGCCTGGGCTGGCGAGGGAGGGGGAAGAGAGGCAGGCAGGCAGGCAGGTAGGGCAGGCGGGTCAGGCCCTCCCCAGAGTGGGTGGGCGCTCAGGAGCTGCCCCCACAGTGATGTGTGCCCCGTGTGCTCTTTTGCTTTTTGCAGAATAAAATCAGAGTCACTGTAGACGTGAAGGAGGCAGAGCTCTATCTGTTCCATGTCATCCTGAGGTATATTAATTCAGGAGGGGCTACTGTGTATGGCAAAATTACAGCTTATCAGCCACGAAGGAGAGGTAAGGATCCCAGACTGCTCTGCTTCCCTGTGCCATCGCCACCTCCTCCCCATCCCAGGCAACCTTCTGCATCATCCTTTCCAGAAGACGCTTCCATATGGCTTTACCTATTAGTCCTGCTCTCCCAGTTGAAAGGCTGATTTGAGTTTGCAGCCCCCTTTATTTACCAAAGCAGCAGCAAGGTGGGCCCAGCCCTGGGGCTGCACACTGAGTGAGGACTGATACCAGCCAGGCTGTGGGAGATAAAGCTGTTGTACAATTCCATACAACCTTTCCAGCACAGGACGAGATCACCCCAGTGCCCCAGGCAAAGCTGAGCTGACTTTCCACAAAAGCAGAATGGGCCAGGAGCTGGGAAGTGGATCCAGTCTTTGGCAGCTGGATGTGGTTTTATTTACCAGATGCCCTGACGTGGCAGTCCTGCCTTTCCCGTGTGCTTCTCCAAACCAGGCTGCTGGTTTCACACGTGGTGTGGGGCTTGGAAGTGCTGTGGAATTACACATCTTACACAGGCATTGCACTCTGGTGCAGTGTCCTCTCGTCAAGCCACGAGCTGCTGGAGAAGAGCCACCAAGAGATGTCTGAACAAGCCTAGAATCTGGACAGCAATTTTTCTGGGAAACAGTCTGAGCAGGATGACATGGGAGCACACCTGAGGCCGTGGTGGATGGGTGGCTGGCTCATTTTACCCCTTTGGATGCCACAGCCACACTGTCCTGCTGAAGCTCATCCTCCAGACCACACATCCACAGCACAAGGCTGTCAACCCTAACTACCTAAATTATCTGTGTGTGAAGTTGTCTCCTCTGTCTTGAGTTGGCATAGGTTCTGCCTTTGATGTGGTATGCAAGGTTTGAAATGCCAAAATACTATTTTTCTGCCGCCTTTTTCTTTTTGAGAGGAAAAATGGCATTTTTTAATGTCCAGTCATATTACACAGCAGAAGAACAAGAAGAGCAGGAGCTGTGGTCATGCTTTTAGGATCCCACCAAAGGTCAGGAAGTATTTAACCTGTCCTATCCAAGCAGCAGAGCTCATTTGCCTTAAAAAGTGCTTCACTTCTTGTGCAGAAGCAATGTGATTTTTTTAGTGCTGAAGGCAAGCAGCCAAACTGGTGCACCAACAAGAGGACAGCAGCATCCTTGGGAGGCTTCAGGAGTGCTGAGCCCCGCTCCTGTCTGGATGGAAAGGGCTTCACGAGGCAAAGAACAAGCAGCCTGGAAAGAAGTTGGAAGATGTGGCTTGCAAAAGGGAAAGCCTTTTCCAAGTATGGGATTTTCAGCCTGGTTTCTTCCACTCTGCCTCCAGAAGCTGTCTCAGTTGGAGCTGTGCCTTGCCTTAAAGGGATCTGAAACTTCAATCAATGAATCTACCCCAGTGCCAGTTCAGGGAAATCTGTTCACTGCTTGAGTCTTCACCTCTGCTTCCCATCTGGAAAAGTGAGGTCCCAGGCTCAGCTGATGCCAGGCATGTCACAGAGCTGCCACACATGGGAAGGGGTTATTATTAACCATCCCAGCAGTAGCACAAGCCTTTGCTTTAGCCTCTGGCCCTGTGTGTTGTGCCTTGGTGTCCATGTATCACACAAGGACAGTCAGTGTGCCACATTCCCACGTCCTTCTTCATCTCATCTGCTCAAAATGCAGCCATTCCCGGTGAATCCCTCTCACCTGTGCTCTTCAAAAGCTCCTGAACCTCCTGGGCAGGCACACAGTCTGTTCCTAGGTTCTGTATTGTGATTGCATCCATTAATTAAGAGGTTGTGGGACTGTCGTATGAGCCAAGGAGCTGTTCAGCAGCAGCAGGATCAGGCCTTGCACCCATTCTGTTCTGTCAGTTTAAAAGAACATCTGAATCTCAAGTGCAGAGTCTGTGGTTGGCAGGAAGAAAGGCAGGAGCACACCTTGGGGGCCTGAAAGTTTGCCAGAAGACAGGTATCTTGCCTGTGGAGCTGGGGTCAGAATTTCCCTGAGGAAGAAATGTATCTGGGCAATTCTTTTTGTCTGTCTCACGGTTAACTCTTCACAGATGAGTTCTTTCCTTTTCTAGCTGGCAAAACTCTCCTTGGCTTGCAACACTCTGTGCTTTGCAGCCTGGGTATGCAGAGCACACTGTGAGAGCTCTGGATTTGCATTAAGGATTGCAGTGATTTATATTTATTTCTCCCATTAGGCTGTTGAGCAGATTGAGAGTGGATGTCTCTGTTCCAGGACAGTGTGGTGCACCGAGAAAGTGGGAACCTGTCGCTCCCCACTGCACCACAGAGCTGCTTCCCTGAGCATAGCCTCCCATGTCCAGCCCCAGGTTTTCCATTCCAGTCCCTTCACAGCCTCTCATCCCTCCCATTCCAGGTACAGAGCAGACCAAGCAGATTGTCTTTGCTCCCAGCACGGAGCCAGCCTTTGTCACTGTGCCCCAGAACAGCTTCGGGGAGCCCTTCGTGCTCAACCCCAACACCTGGTCTCTGGTTGTTGAAGCACAGGGTGTGCTGCTGGTAAGGCCCTGTGCTCCTCCACCGTGGGGGCTTCAGCAGCTCCCTGGGGACAAGTCTGCCAAGCGTAACACCTCTCCCATCTCTCCTCCCAGGACTATCTGGTTTTGCTGCCCAGCTCATACTACGAAGCACCAATCCTGCAGCTGAAGGTCACGGAGCCTTGTGTCTACCAGCCAGCCCCTGAACAAGCCACCCAGAAGTAAGGATCTGCACATCTCTGTGCTGTGTGGGGCTTGCTCAGCTCCTCTTGGCTTGGGGTTAAGGAATATGCACAGTCCATACTCAGTGATGCAGTAAAATGCTCGTAGAGCACTTGGCTGTGGCCAGTAAAGCTTGTGGAGCCTGCACCGGCCCAGAAAGCCAGCCCATAGATCTTCTCATCCATGGCACAGCCAGCCTGTGTTTTCTCATGGACCCTGGAGGGCCAGCTCACACAGTGACACCATAGCCCACCTCTCTGCTGGGCTGGGCTCCCAGTGCCAGCTTGTGTGTGGCTGTGTGTGTCCTCAGAAATGTCTGCCGTGAGTAGGTTTTGCTGGACTATTTAAAATGAGCAGTCTGGTAGTGTTTGCAGTATCTCAGTGCTTCTGCTTGCCCACTACCTCTCTGTCCTTATTGGCAAGAAGGCTGGCTGGGCTCTGGACACTGGTTGTCCCATCCGCTATAGTCGTGGTCCCCAGGATAAAACCCATTGCCAGGGGAGAAGCTTTTTGTTGTTACTGCTCTCCCTGGTCCTGTAATGCCCAGTCCCTTGCTCCCCACTGCCCAGAGCTGCTCCTTGGCCCTCCTGATAGACCAAAGCCTTTTGCAAACTTGGCTGGGCCCAGGCTTTGTGGGTGCTCTCAACTTTCATAACCATGATGTAACTTTTGTACTTCACAATTATTTTCTGTGTGTTTCCAGCTGCCTCTTGTACAAGTACCTGTCCGTGGAGGGCTTCCCTGCCGTGCCAGGGGTGGATGCAGTGTGCAGGCTGGACAACAGGCTGCCCAGGCTGTGTCCCACGGAGCAGCTCACCCCTTCCCACCCCCGCATGGCCACCTGCAGTGGCACTGATGTGAGTGGCACTTCTGCTTTGTCCCCTTCCTGGGCACCCTGCCTCCCCTGTCTGGGGCTTCAACTACACCTGGGCAGGCTTTACCTGCACCAGAAAGGCTTTGCACCCCTGCAGCTGTGTGCTTGTGTGCCCTGTTCAGGGCACCCAGACCCAGTCTCTCACACATAAAGGTTTGCAAGGATTTGGTGAGATTTGGTGCGTTGTCCCCTGAGCTGCAGAGGAGGCTGGCTTGTAGCACCCTGCACACACTCCCTCAGTCATCCTTCTGTGCTCCAGGTGGAAGTGCAGCTGTCCCTGTCCGTGGCCCAGCCTGGGAAGTACGTGCTGCTGGTGGAATATGCCAACACCAACGCCCTGCAGAGCGTGGGCATCGCCGTGAGCTCGCCGCGCTCGGCCACGCAGCAGGGCACGTTCACCTTCTACCCCTGTGTCTACAGGTGAGGGCACCTCGGGGGAGAAAGGGTCCAGTTCTCTGCCATGGCAAGGACAGCCTCCCCTCCAGTTGAAGTTTTTTGGGTTTATCACATAAACAAAGCAAGCTTCAGTATTGTCCACCTAAGTTCTGCGTGTCCAGACTCATTCTGGCTGGACACAGATTTCAGTGGCTGGCCACCCCATGTCAGGAAGTATGTACCTGCCTCTGCAGGAGATGGTCTTGGGCGTCTGTTTGCAGCTGAATTGTTGGTAGGGACCTTGACTTAGGGAATGGCCTCCAGGCAGGTTTATTTGAGACAGGTCAAACCCTGTCTGGCTTCAGATTGCAACCTTTGCAGTAGGAAACAAATGTTTGGGGTGTCCTTGGAAAACTTTGCTCTTGCAAGCAGCCAGAAAAAACATCAAAAGATTTTCAGGGACTTTGTGTAAATCCCCTCAGGACATAGAGCTGGCAGGACAAGAAATGGGTCATGACCCTGTGCAAGACTGATTTCAAAGTGTGTGTTTCTCTTACAGTTTCCTTTGTCGAGGGATTGCTGTAGATTCCCAGAGTCGAATGGCAACTTTTGAACTCACCTCAGAGGCCACTGTTCGTTTCACCTCTGATCTGGCTGATTTCTTCCTGGTAAGGCTCCCTCTGAGGGTAGGGGGGGCACAGGGAGGAGAGGTGGACTGGGACTCAGCCTGTAGAAGGATTTTCTAGTTCTGTTTGGATGGGATCTCGGATCTTAGTCTGGGTTTTCTAGTCCTGTTTGGACTGGATACTGGGTTAGTCTGTGTCACAACCAGTCCAAGTGGAGGATGTGGTCAGTGGGGTGTTTTGAAGTAAATCATGGGGCTGGGAGTGGGGAGGAGATGGGGAGAAGCAGCTGCTCTTGCAGAGGGAGCTCTGTAAGAGCAGTTCCTTTTTTATCTTGAAGACATTCCTAGTTTAGCCAAGGATAGAAGAATCCCATCCATATGTGGAGCTTCTAAATGCCATAAGGCTTGTGCCAAGGAATAAGCAGAGGTGTGACTGCCATGCATTAGCTGAAGTGCCTGCTGGCTGGTGGGCACAGGGACAGCTGTGGCTCCAGGGGCAGAGGCTGTCACATAACCAGGTGTCTCTCTCCCGTGTGGCAGCACAAAGTGTACCTGATCCCTGCTGCACAGTTCACCATGGAGCTCATCGAACCGAAGGTGCACTGCATCAGTGTCCATGGCACCTTCTCATCCAACAGGTGAGGGTCTCACGTCCCCCTCAGCTTTAGCATCAGTGGGACTGTTTCCAAAAACATTTGCTTGTCCCGCTTCCCTCAGGCTCAGAGACTTTTTGAAGTTTTTGATGAATAAATCTCCAGCTGAGGTGAAACTCCATGGTTGTGTCCTCTGAGCACAGACTGGGATCAGACTGATGGTCCTGTGCCTGAGCCCCACTCTGCCTCCTGGGGCACACACTCAAGTGTCATCCCAAACAGGCATTCCTGTGCTTGCTCACATACAGCAAGACCCTTGCTGTATCCAAATTTTTGATGCTGCTTCAGATAAATATTTGCAGAGGAATTGGCCTGAGCCAGGCTCCTGTTCTTCCTGCTGAGCCCATATCCCAGAGCTCCAGGCGTGCTGGCAGTGAGCTCTCCCTCAGCAGGCACACCTTGTAATCCACCAGGAGTTATAGGGCGTGCTTCCCTCCTCTCTTTCTTTCTGGAGATACTCACATCCTCTTTACTCCTTGTTTTTCAGCAGCTCCTGTGTCCCCTCAAGGTTCCTGAAGCTTTCTCAGTCAATCATTTTGGAGGGGGCCCAGGCTCTGCCCATCGCCCCAGAGGTGCCCCTGGCTCAGGCTGTCCACGTGGCTCCCTCTGGGGTGCCAGTGGAGCCTGCTCCTCGTCCTCCCACAGCCATGGACCCCACTGCAGAGCTCATCCTCCTGCAGTCCCCACAGGTATGGCTTGGGCTGGTTTGCTGGTGCTGTGACAATGGACTACTGGGGCAGGGAGAAATTTTCATTACTTGCTGATTAATGCTTTATCAATTAGCATTTTCAGAATTTAATCTGAGTTTTAAACTTCTCCCTGAACTTGTAATTCCTGTGGACTCACCTGTCTTGGCTTTATCCAACCTTGTTTGGTTCTCTGGGACCCCAGGAAAAGCTTTTCAGGTGGCAGCATTAGAGGGGAGAGAGTGTAGAGGCATGGGGGGCTTGATTCACTGAATTCTCACAACCTGGCAGCTGTGCAATAAGAGCACAAGTCTGTGCAGTAATTCAGAAACATCCCAGCTGTGTGTGTATGTGTCAGACATGGATTTTTGTCTGTGTTCTCCCGTGCTGGGGCAGGCTGCAGTGCTGTTCAACAGCCGGATCCAGACCCTGGGACGCTACGCCTTCATCCTGCACTTCTACCAGCCCAGCCACCCCACCTTCCCCGTGGAGGTGCTCATCAATGGTGGGCGCATCTGGCAAGGTGAGAGGAGCAGGGACCTGGGGAAGCTGCAGGTTGGCAGAAGCCCTGGAAGTTTTCCATGCCAGACTGTGGGCTGTTCAGGGATTGCAAAAATGAAGCAAGACTGACTTGTCCCTTCCAAAGTGGGAGGATGGGATGGGGACTCAGGGGACGGGTGAGACCAACACATCTGTTGTTTTTTTCAGGTCAGACCAATGCAAACTTCTGCCCACATGGCTACGGGTGTCGGAGCCTGGTGGTTTCTGAGGACCAGATCATCCTGGATGTTACTGATAATGATCTGACTGTGGTTGTTCGAGTGCCAGAGGGCAAGCAGCTGTGGCTGGTGAGCCTCTCTCCATGAAGCTCCAGAGCATGCTGGGCAGGTGTCAGCAGAGGGCTTTTCACTGGATTTTTGTCACTGTGTGACAGCAGGAATCTTACCCACCACCACTCATCTCTGAAATACCCTAGAATTTGCAGTCTCCAGCCTTAGTGGTGTGGAATTGAGGGCAGAATTTACAGGGGCAGCTTCTATATATGACAATGTCCTTCCTTGTCTGGTTTTGGTATCAAAACCAGACAGAAATTGAAGCTTTACTTTGCATACATAGTTTGTGATAATCCAGAATAAGCCTTATTCCTGCTCTAGCAGTATCTTAAGCCTGCATAATATTGTTTGTTCAGGCAGGCCTCATCATGAGAGTAGGTTGCCCATGTTATTCTCAGGCAGCAGGACTAGAAGGTTGACCAAAATTTGGATCAATGGCTGAAAGACAGAATTGGAACCCAAGTGCCTTCATGTGTAGAAATTTCAGATTGTAAAGATTGTTGTGCTGCTGAGGCACAGCCTGTGCTGTGCTCTGGGGGTATTCTGCCTGGTTTTAGTCTGGTGAATTTGTGCTGTTCCTCATGTGGAGCTTTAGGTTAAATGGGCCCTGATGGACAGACCTCAGTAGAGGGGTGACTCCTGGTCTTTGCAGTACTTGGTGTGTTATGTTCTGTCCCAGCAACATGAAAGGTTAAAGGTGCATTTGGACTTCAGAGTGATTTTGGATGGTGCTTGTCTGTCTGAGCTGTCTCACCCAGCTCACCCTTGCTTTGCAGGATTACATCCTTGTGGTGCCTGAGGACAGCTACACCTCCCAGTACCTGCAGGAGGAACCCCTGGACAAGTCCTATGATTTCATCAGCAGCTGTGGCATCAACAGCTTCTACATCAAGTGAGATGCTTGGCTTTGGGTACTTGCTTTGCAGTCTGCAGGCTGCCCCTTCCCTTCACGTGTGGTAGGCAGGGGCTAGTTGAGGTTTTCCTTCTGTTGACCAAACGTGTGTTGACCAAACTGTTGATCAGTTTGGGAGCTCTCAGTGTCACAGGCTCTCCCTCCCACTGAGTCCCTGTGGCTGCAGGAGATGCTGGATTGGGGTGGTGTGGAGGCTGTGGGGATGTGCAGCACTGACTGGTTGGGGTGGTGTGGAGGCTGTGGGGTGGTGTGGAGGCTGTGGGATGTGCAGCTCTGACCCCTCCCGCCTCCCCCTGCAGCCCCAGCACGTCCTCGAGGTTCTGCCGTGACTCTGCCATCTCGCTGTCCCTCTTCTACAACAACGGGGCGCAGCCGTGCCGCTGCCACGAGGCCGGGGCGCGGGGCAGCCAGTGCCAGCCCTTCGGGGGACAGTGTCCCTGCAAGTCCAACGTCATCGGCCGCCAGTGCTCCCGCTGTGCCACCGGCTACTGGGGCTTCCCCAACTGCAGGCGTGAGTTCCCCTGGCTGCCCCTCTGCCTTCCCAGCGCCTGCTCTGCATCCATTCCCCACGCTTGCCTTGGGTGCCTGGGTGTGGCTCGCCCAAACCCAGCCTTTTTCTGTCCCTTGCAGCCTGTGACTGCGGGACACGTCTGTGTGATGAAGTGACAGGGCAGTGCATCTGCCCTCCCCACACCCTGAAGCCGGAGTGTGTTGTCTGTGAGCCCCAAACCTTCGGCTGCCACCCCCTCATCGGCTGTGAGGACTGCAACTGCTCCCGGCCCGGCGTGCAGGAGCTGACAGAGCCAGGCTGTGACGTGGACAGTGGGCAGTGCAGGTGAGGGAGCCTTGTCCTGGCGCTGGGGACAGCTGGCAGCATCCCTGGTGCCCTGCTGGAATGATGGGACACTTTGGCAAGCTGAAGGGAGGAAATGTGCAGATGGGGGTGAGGAAAGCTCTGAAAGCTCTTGTGAATCTTGTGTCCACCCAGGTGCAAGCCCAACATCATCGGGCGACAGTGTGACCTCTGTGCCCCTGGCTACTACCACTACCCTGACTGCCGGCCGTGTGACTGCCACCAGGCTGGCACCCAGGCGAGCGTGTGTGACCCAGTCACGGGGCAGTGTCACTGCAAGGTCAGTCCCCCAGTGCCTTCATGTGGTGCCTTTCTCCTTGGCTTGACTCTCCAGCCCTGGCAGGGGGTGGCAGAGGCTGTGTGTGCCCAGCGTGCCCCATGAAGTGGTGGGTTCAGAACACACTGAAAAGCTCTTATCTCCTCATCCTTCCTGGCCATGAAGTTTCACTCCTTGGGCTGTCTCTGGCAGAGATGGCCAGTCTGAGTCCAGCCCAGTGTCAGAGCTGGTTGCAGGTGGAGCTGTCAGCCCTATTGGCTCCTGGCTCCATGGCAGCAGGGTAGCTCAAACACCTTCTGAGCTGCCCTGCTCCAGCCTCTTTGTAGGGCTTACACGTGCTTTCTCTAGTTGAATTTAATGTTTGGTGGGTGCTGTGCAAGCAAACCTGTTTGAGGGACTGCTTTAACATCTTCCAGCACCGTGGCACTTTGTTTTGATACTCAGACAGCCATCCCTGTCCTCCACTGAGGCCTTGTGAGAAGCTGCTGACACTGTTAAGCTTTGCTTATCTTTCAGGAAAATGTGGAGGGCCTGAGGTGTGACCAGTGCCGCTTGGGGACATTTTCTTTGGATGCCACCAACCCCAAGGGCTGCACCAAGTGTTTCTGCTTCGGTGCCACCGATCGCTGCCGCAGTGCCGAGAAGCACCGAGCTGAGGTGAGAGGGGCTGGGGGCCACCAGAGCCTGCAGGTCAGGTGTGTTCCATCCACCTGGCTCCCAGCTGCCCTCGGGTCTCTGTCCTGCATCAATCCTACTGAAGATCCACAGTGAGGAGGGTTATCTTTGACTCTCCTGCTTTCAGCCCCTTTTCCTGGTCTCTGGGGTCTCATGTGCTGGGCGGGGGTGATGATCAGCTTTCCTGTGCTTTCATGAGGATGCATGTGAGGTGTGAGCCTGTTACTCCCCTTTCTGCTGCTCTGGGACCTATTCTTCTGGAGCATCAACACACAAATGCTTTCTGTGACTCCACCAGAAGACCCAGAGTTGCTCTTCCCCTCCAGTTTGTCGACATGAACGGGTGGCTCTTGCTGAGCAGCGACCGCCATGAGGTGCCAACAGCTCTGAGCCCACGGGAGCAGCTCGTCACTGCTGACCTCAAAAACCTCCCAGATGCCTACCAGGAGCTCTACTGGGTTGCACCCAGCTCCTACCTTGGGGACCAGGTAAGAGAATGGGGAACCACCCTGACCTCACCAGCAGCCTGACGTGCAGGCACTGCTCACATTCCAGTTAAACACGGCCATCCCTTAGTTGTCTCAGTGCTGTGGACTTGCAGCAACCTGTGGGATTTGTGTCTCCCTCAGGTTTCCTCCTATGGAGGGCACCTTCGCTACGAGCTGCACTCCAACCCTCGCAGGGGTGACGTGTTCATTCCCATGGAGTCCCGGCCGGACGTGATCCTCAAGGTGCAGCCCAAGAAATGCCCTGGTGTCCCCTGCTAATGCAGGAGCAGGATGAGGTGATGACTGACACGTTCCTTGCTTTTCCCAGGGAAATCAGATGAGCATCATGTTTCTGGAAGGTGCCTACCCATCCCCAGGGGAGGCACATCAAGGCCAGCTGCAGCTGGTGGAGGTGAGTTTGCACACACAAGTGAAGTGCTCAGATAATGCAGGAAAGGGACAAGACCTCATTCAGACAAGCTTGGAGCTCAGCATTTTAGGTGCTGCAGGGCTCTTTCAGCATGCAAAGGGGAAAGATTCCAGCAGCAGGGATGTGGAGGCTGGGCTGCATGTTCAGATGCTTGTGCTTCCTGCCAGTAATGCCAGGTTTTCTCCCACCAGGGTAACTTCAGGCACACAGAGACTCACAACCCCGTGTCCAGAGAGGAGCTCATGATGGTGCTGGCAAACCTGGAGCAGCTGCAGATCCGGGCACTCTTCTCCCAGCTCTCTTCCTCCGTGTCCCTGCGCCGTGTGGTGCTGGAGATGGCCACGGACACAGCCACGGGCGTCCGTGCCAGCAACGTGGAGCTGTGCTTCTGCCCAGCTAACTACCAGGGGGACTCCTGCCAGGTAAGGGGGCAGTGGACATGCTGTTCCAGTCAGAGGGGTCAGATAGTCATGTTTTGGATACCAGCTGTCTCCAGGCTGGCTCTTGAGGGCTTCAGTTGAAGTGACAGCTCGGCTTGTTCCAAAGGAAGGAACATTTCCCCATCACACCGCGCACTTGTGAGAGGTGCAGAAGTTACATCTGCAATCATTCAGGTGCTGCAGTACCTTGGAATGGGTCCTTCTCTCTGGCCAATTCTCTCCTGGTTAAAAGGAGCAGGAAGGAACTGCCCTGAAAAATCTTCATCCCCACTTATAATCTTTTCTCCATCAGTACAACCCACTGGGAATTCTGTCATGGAAACTAACTTAGTTTCTTTGCTTTTCCCAAAAGTATCAGGCTGTTTTTCAGATCTCTGCCTTTTTCTGTCTCCTTAGGAATGTGCTCCAGGTTACTACAGGGACACCAAGGGGCTCTTCCTGGGAAAATGCATCCCCTGCCATTGCAATGGCCACTCAGATCAGTGCCTGCCAGGCTCTGGGATATGCCTTGTAAGTAAACAGTGGAGCAGTGTGATGTTTTGGAGTTAGGAGGTCTGTAGCATGTGATTCAAAAGCTCTTTACGTACTAACTGGGCTGGCAGAACCATGCCTGAGTCAGAGCACTGGCTTCACTGTTTCAGTGGTGATCCTGCTCAGGGTCAGCTTAGGGTGCAAGGCAGCTCTGGGAGAGAGGAAGGACTGAGGCATCCTGATGGGGAGTTCTTAGTGCAGCCACCATTTCTTGTCAGTGCTGAGCCCAGGGTTTGCCTTTTCCTTGCAGAACTGCCAGCACAACACAGAAGGAGACCACTGTGAGCGATGCAAGGATGGCTACATGGGCAGCCCCTCTGCCCAGGAGCCCCTGCAGTGTGTTGGGTGCCCATGCCCTCTTTCAGTTGCCTCCAACAAGTAAGCACCCCAGGATGGGATTTCCTGTTTGGCCCCCTGTTTAACCACTGGAACTACTCTGTGCCCCACCAGGGCAGGTGTCCCAATGCCAGCCTTGTCCTTGTCCCCAAACCATGTCCATGGCCTCTTGCCTGAGGCCTCAGCAGCCCACAGTGAGTGACCAGCTCCCCTGGCACCACATCAGGAGTAACTGCTCCTCCCTGTGTCCCCATTCTCGTTTTAGTTTTGCTGTTGGCTGTGTCCACAAGGGATCCAACATGCAGTGCCTCTGCAAGCCAGGCTACGCTGGACCAAACTGTGAGCGGTAAGGGGGGTGGCTCCCGTGTTTCGGGGGGGTCTCAGACACTAAACCTGTGGCAGAGAAGTTTTCTCCTTAAGGACTGCAGCAGAAGCAGCTGGCTCTGCCCCTGAGTGCTTTGTTCTGGCAGCATTTCCCTCAGTCCTTTTCAGCCTGCAAATGCCTGACTACTGAAATTCTGTTACTGTGGGTGTGTGACTTAGGTGTGTGCTTTGCCTTGACTTGCAGCCTGTGATACAGGCACCTTTCTGAGGTATCCCGAGGCAAAACACAGAGTGCTTTGACATCCCAGAGGGCTGCAGCAGTTACAAGTGTTGCATGCTCACGCTGTTCCAGTTGTGCAACTCCAGTGCGCGGTGCAGGCGCGAGCTGCGGGATCCTCACTCTGTTGTAACTTGTGTTTCTCCAGGTGTGCCCCGGGATACTACGGCAACCCCTTGGTGATTGGCAGCTCGTGCCAGCCCTGTGACTGCAGCGGGAACACGGATCCCAACATGCTGTTCAGCAGCTGTGACTCCCTGACGGGCGCCTGCTCGGGCTGCATGCACCACACGGCCGGCGCGCGCTGCGAGCTCTGCGCGCCCGGCTACTACGGGGACGCCGTGGTAGCCAAGAACTGCACACGTGAGCGGGGCAGGCAGCCAGCCCAGGGGCAAGGGGAGGGTGCCCAGCACTGCTCGTCTGCCTCTGAGGAGCAGCAGCCCAATGCAGCTTGTAAAAGGGGTCATGGGCATAAGTTGTGAGAAGCAAATCCAAGAGGAGAGCGGCTCTGTCTTAACTTTGATAGATAAGGGGGGAAGAGCAGTTTTGCTGTTAGCAGTAAGAGCTGACAGGCTCTTCAGTGTAATGCTGGATGTATTTTTCCCTGGCAGAGTGCAACTGTTCGCCTTGTGGGACTGACTCCTGCCATCCACAAACTGGCCAGTGCTTCTGCAAGACTGGAGTGACAGGCCAGCACTGTGACCGCTGTGAGGTGAGGGTCCCCTGGGCCCTGGGATGGTGCCTGTCCTTGTCATGGGGATGAGGGGCAGCCCTGGTGTTGTCCCCCAGGCTGTGAGCTGAGCAGGGCTGGCTGCCAGCTGGTCAAGGCTGAGTTTGCAGGAGTACATGGCAAAAGCCTATTAAAGATCTGGCAGCAAGCAGTGCAGGCAGCATTCCAGTAAAGTGGCATCATTTGTGAAACTGCAGTAAACCCCATTTTCCTGAGTGCATCCAGCTTGGGCAAGGGCAGGATCACAGGGCAGTGCTGCGGTGTGTCTGTGTTCTCACTGCAGCTCCACATCTTTACCATGTTGCTTCGAATTTTGTGGTGCTCAAAACACACCTAGAAAGAAAAGCTGTGGTTCTCCATCACTGACTCGAGAGAGAGGCACACTTGCTGACCAGGGCATCCATGTCCTGCTTTTCCCTAGGAGGGGTACTACGGCTTTGAGGGCTGCTCGGGCTGCCGGAGGTGTGACTGCGACGTGGGCGCCGTGGGGAGCAGCTGCCACGTGCAGAGCGGCCAGTGCAGCTGCCTGCCCGGCGTCAGCGGCTCCCGCTGCCACCAGTGTGCCCCAGGCTACTGGGGCTTCGGCCAGGGCGGCTGCACAAGTGAGTGTGGGGTCCCAGCCAGGGGCTCTGGGTCAGGGCTGGGCTGCTGGTCCAGTTGTTGGAGGGATAAAACATCTGGCAGCTGTCTGAGGGCCTGTGCACGTCGCTGCATTGCACGGGGAACCCCCAGCAGTGGCGTGTGGATGGGCACAGCTGGAATAAAACCTCCTTCCCCTCTCTCCAGAGTGGTAAAAGCAAAAAATGATTCTCTGTTTCTCAACCCTGCAGAGTGTGAGTGCAGAGGGGGCTCCTGTGACCCTCGCACTGGGGAGTGCACGTGCCCCAACGGGCTCACGGGGAAGCAGTGCGACGTCTGCCTGCGCGAGCACGAGATCCTGGTGGCAAACGGCCCCGACAGCATGAAGTGTGAAGGTCTGTGTCCCACTGTCCTGGGGAAAGAGGGGAGGGGAGCCCAGGAGAGGGCCTGTGCTGACTGCTGCGTTCCCTGCAGTGTGTGACAGCTGTGTCCTGCTCCTGCTGGAGGACCTGCAGAGCATCGAGATGTCCTTCCCGTCCATCCGCAGCCAGCTGGTCACGCTCAACGCCAGCTCCATCGCCTGGGCTCGCCTCCACGGCCTCAACGGCACCATACTGGCCATTGCTGTACGTGGAAGGCTTCACATCACCTTCTGCCCATGTCTCCTGGCCTGTTGGCCTGATTTAGCCTCTTCTTTTTTTGTTTTTCCTAGAACCAGCTCCGTGAGTACCACAGAGCCATGAGCAGGGTCAGGCAAAGGGCTGATGAGCTGGAGGATGAGAACATCGATCTCACACAGGACCTGAATGCTCTGCAGCACAAAGTAGGGTATTTCTCCATTTTTCTTTGCCAAAGCACAAGCCCCACCTTTTACCAAAATGTGGGCTTTGAAGGCTGTGATGAGCCTAGTTCAGGCAGGTTGGGTCTCCTGCTCAGCCAGAACTAAGTTGCAGTGTTAGGTGCTCAAGCTGGATTACCTGCTTTCATTCCTTGGAGAGCTGTGAAACATCTCATAATACTGATAGTTTTTATTGATTTACTACTTGCTTTTGGAGTGGCTTCAAATTTAAGCAGTAAAAATAAATTCCATCAAATATAATTTATAGAAGGGACATACAAGTAAGGAACACAAATCATCTGGGTCCATCATGGATGCAATCTGTATCCAGTCTAAAACCTAGCAGTCACATCTTCAGAGAATGGGTAAACTGAGCAAGATTTGATTTCACTTGATTTGATTTATAAACTGCCTGTTCCTAATCTGAGGGAGAGGGAAAAATCTCTACTTGACGACATATCTCCCCAGACAGCTGCAAGGACAAACTGCCCTGTGTGTACCAGACAGGCAGACTGCAGCCCCCTGTCTCTTGATCAGGACCCAGGTGTGCCTGGCTCCAGGCTCTGGGGCTTTCCCTGTGTTAAGAGCACAGAACAGTGCTGAACTTTGTGGTGTTGGGATTGTTCCAGCATCCAGAGCCTGTTGCATTGGAGCTGTATTTAATGCTTGTGCTTCTCTGAAGGTGCTAAATAAGATCATCCTTCAGTAAACTGTGGGATAGGCTCCTCCAAGGACCTCACAAGCAACACATTCCCAGGCCTTGTGTGTGTTTTGGGAGCAAGTCCCACTGACAAATGACATAAAATGTCATCTCGTACTGGAACTAAGCCAGCATTTTTGTGGTAGATGACCATGACTCACAGAGAAGCGATTCGCGTTGAGCAGCACACGAGGGACATGTACCAGAGGGGGGAACAGCTCCTGCTGCACATCCAGAGCATCCAGAGGGGCATTGCAGGTATGTCAAGAAGGGTCTTCACTTTGGGGTTACGCCTGTGATACGCCATGGTCTTCATTTCAACCACTGCCAAGTACTGCAGTGCTTAGAGAAAGAACAAGGGAAAATACAAATGAAGATCCTTGCAGAATCCCAGCTTTTACTCTGACCAGCCTTATTTTGAGTCTCAGCTGCTTGGCTAAACACAAGTCTGGGGAAAAAACATTAAACTTCCTGAAATGTTACTAAAATGAATAAAACAGGGGCAGTCTGCCCTGCAGCTTCAGGAGAAATTGAGCAAAGGAGAGTGGTTGGATTTTGGACAAGAGGTAGAGCCGCAGAAAGATGCTCAGGATGGAACATGTGTCACTGGTAATGGCCAAGGAGGCTGAAACATGGGGCAGTGCCTCTGGGTGATCTCAAGCACTTTATTGTCTGAAAGCTGTCAGTGGTTTGTGAGAAGAACCTCGGGGAGTTGTGAAGGACCTGGTTTGCTCAGTCTGACGGGGCTGTGGTTTCTCTGCAGCGCTGGTGCAGCAGATGGCCAGGTTTGGGGCAGAGAACGCCAGCACCACGTCCGGCGAGGAGTTCCGGCAGAAGCTGGCCGAGGTGGAAAGGATGCTGAGGGAGATGAAGGAGAGGAGCCTGGGAGCCCAGGAGGAGCTGGCAAGGCGTGAGCACGAGGAGGCTCAGAAGTGTGAGTCCAGCTTGGCTGCCCAGGTCCTGCTGGGTCTGGCTTGGAGCCCACACAGACACTGCACATCATGGTTGTGTTTAGAGAGTGCTGTTAAGAACCAGGCACCCCCAGCCATTTTTATAGGAGTTTCAGAGCTCCCTGTGACAGTCCAGCAGGATAATTTGTGGTTCCTTTTCCCTTAAGGCAAATTTCTGAGCAGAACTAAGTGGGTAGTTCTGTTTGATGAACAAAAACGATAACACTTAGAACCAGGAATCACCATTATGTGATGTATGTTCACATCACATGGATGTGAATAAGTCACACCATGTTTCTTCCTGTTTGCTGTCCCCATAGAGTAACAACCAGCAGCCAGCTCCCCATAGTAGCTCTGCTGTCCTGAGGGCATCCTTGCAGGAGTGAGCCCAACCAGGGATGCTAGCACTGTAGGAAGAGAGCACTTCTGATTAACAAGCCTTGGCAAAGCATAACTCAGTACCTGAAAGCTGGAATTGTAAACTGGCTCTTGTTGGAAATAAGTAATTTCACACAGTGGAAGTAATCAAGGCCTCAGGTTCATCATCTGGATCTTTTCAGGCATGGCTGTGTGTCTTTGAAAGAGATCCCATCTCTTGAGGGTTTGTAGACAGTCCTGGACAAGATCCTGTGCCATCTAGGCTGAAAAGGAGGGAGGGAGGGGTGGAAGATGGTCACTTCTGACCTTGATATCTGCCAAGACCAGAGCCAGGCTTTGGGGCAGCCAGGCACAGAAGGAGTCTGTTTAACACAGGAAGAGGAATTAGCAGAGTTCTCCCCCCTCCCCAGTGCTGCATCGGGTGAAGAGCGAGCTGCACGCCCGCTGGCAGTCCAACCAGGACCTGGTGAGCAGCATCCAGGAGCGGCTGGCCCAGCACAGCTCCCAGCTCATGGATCTGCGAGATGCCCTCAACGAGGCCGTGAACAAAACCAGGCAGACAGAGGAGCTGAACAGCCTGAACCGAAACAACCTGGAGGAGAGTCAGGTAGAGCTTCACCACAGTCCTGGCCATGGGGTGAGGGGGGCTGTCCCAGCCCTGCTGGTCCCTAACCCGGGGTCTTTGTGTCCAGCAAAAGAGCCAGGAGCTCCAAAAGCAGCATGCACTGGTGCAGGACACCCTGCAGATGGCCAAGGACGCCCTTGCCCAGGTCTCTGACTCCCTGCAGATGATGGAGCGTGCAAAGGAGGTGAGTAGCAGAGGCACTCTGGCACGGGCAGAAGGAGAGGTGTGGCAGCCCTCAGCAGTGACAGGTGTCCTTGCAGGCATACGAGAAGCTGGCAGCACTGCTGGATGGGGCCAAGCTGCCCCTGACCGAGCGGGTCAAGAAGTTCTCCCCGGCCAGCAGCAAGATCCCCATCGTGGAGCAGGCAGAGGAGCACGCCCGGCTCCTGGATGAGCTCGCAAGGAACCTGTCTGGGTGAGGCACCTGTCCTGAGCCTCACTGGCCAGGCTGTCTGCTGCCAGAGCTGGGGATGGGAAACCGCAGCCCCACCATGGCAGGGGAACAGCGGGCTATTGCTGCTACATTTCTCTTCACAGAGAAAAGCAAGGCACAATTCTTCCCAAGAATATTTCTGGGTTTCACATTCTCTGAACATCAGAGAAAGAAAACACAATGCTTACCTCATTTGCTGTGCCTGTGTTGTGCCAAAGTAGAATACAATGTGGAGGTTGTTTGCCCAGAGTGATGATGTTTTGTTTCCTTGGCCTGTCAGGGCCAAGCGTGTGTGTGTTGGGACTGTTGGTTGAAAGTCACAAGAGAGTCTGCAATTGTGTGCAGAGTGAGTGCTTGGCAGATTCAGTTTAGATGTAATGTAGTATAGAATAATATAGTGTAATAAAGTAATTAGCCTTCTGATAAGATGGAGTCAGAAGCTCCTTCACTCCCCTTCCTTGGGGGTTGCCTTTGATACTGTGGGGTATCACCTCCAAAGTTTTATACCGGGGCACACATTGTGCTGAGGAGCACAGAGGGGTTTGTCTGTGAGGGCATGGGCAGGAGCCTGTTTTCCATGGACTTGATGTCTTCATCTTCCAACACAGCATTATCCAGGACACAAACCAGGATGGCTTTATCCAGAGGGCAGTCAATGCCTCCAATGCCTACGCCAGCATCATTGAAGCTGTGAGGAAAGCAGAGCAAGCAGCCCACGATGCTGACAAGGCAGCCAGCGAGGCCCTGAAGGTACGTGCTGTGGGGAGCCCTGTAAGATGGGCAAAAAGCAAACTCCCTTCCCTCTGAGTCATGAGCACTGTGCTCTGTGCCTGAGAGCAGAGTCTCCACAGCTGGGCCCACACTCAGTGTTTGGGTCTCCCTGTCACACCCCACTGCAGTTGTCTGAACGAGCATTTTTGTGTGCAGTCAGAGCCAGAGACTTGAATTCCTCCTCAGAGTCCTGTGGTTTTTTTCACAGAATGTCATATCAGAAAACCTCGGGGCCACCTCCAGAATGCTGAAGAGGAACAGCAGCAGCCTGGAGGAGGCTGCAAGGAGACAGCAGAGCAAACTCAATGGGGGTGAGAGAGGCTCCTCGCAGGATCTGCTGTCCTTTGGGCTGGACTGAGCTCCAGCAAACAGCTTGTGCATTTCTTTAATTGCAGCTATTAAAGGCACTCTGCAGACAGCAAAGGACAAGCTGGCTGACCTCCGTGCCAGGAAGGAGCAGCTCCTGACCCAGCTCCAGTCTGTGCAGGACATGCTGGGCAGGGAGCAAGGTTTGTTCTGGGGTAGCTGGACTGGTTCTCTCTGCTCCTTTCTTTGTGCACTGTCTGTGATCCAAGGTGCTTTCTCCCTGCTCCTGGACACCTCAGAGATATTTCTTTCTTTGCAGAGGACACAAAGGACACAATCCAGAATGCCAAAGCAGCTGCTGCTGAGGCCAATGAAACAGCTGCAAGAGTGGAGGATGCCCTGAGCACCATGAAGAAGAACCTGGATGAGTGGAAAAACCAGTATGGAGGCCTCCGAAATGAAGACCTGAACCAGGCAGTCCAGGATGCCAGGAAATCTGGTGAGTGCTGAGCCTGGTGTGCCACCAGGGTGAGTCTGATACGGGCCACTGCATGCACAGATACCCCCAGAGTATTTTTGGAAGCTGTGCTTTGCAGCTCCAGATCAAGAGCAGAGGGAGGTAGCCAATACTGATGCTTTAAGTGCTGGCCCTTTCTATTTTCCTCTCCTGCAATGTCTGTATCACCTGTAGCTTTGCTGCAGGAGGTTGCCTGCACTGGAGCATTCTCAGACCCCCTCGAGGCTGATGGGTTTAGGGGAATCTCTCTGTGACTGCTCGCATTGCATTTCTCAAACTGCGTTAACTTTGCATTTCCCTTCCTTGCTAACCTCCACAACTCCTGGCTCCTCTTCCAACTCCAGTGTCCAGCCTGGAGAGCACCATTCCCCTGCTGCTGGAGAAGCTGAGCAGCCTGGAGAGCAGGAGGAACAAAAACGCCACCGTGTCGGAGAACATCGTGAGGATCCGGCAGCTCATCACACAGGCGAGGAACGCCGCCAGCAAGGTGAGCTCAGGGCAGGACGAGGCTGGGCTGGGGGCCTGGGTGGAGGAGGGCTTACCTGAGGGTGGCATGCAGAGGGGAGGGTGTTTGGTGCCACCAGCAGGGTCCCTTTCTCGTGGGATTTGGTAGAACTGGCAGTGGCCAGGCAGGTGGCAGTGGGTTCAGTGCCACAGGACTGGATTTGTCTCCCTACAGGTGAAGGTGCCCATGAAATTCAATGGCAGCTCAGGGGTGCAGGTCCGGACGCCCAGCAATCTGCAGGATTTAGCAGCCTACACATCCCTCAAATTCTACATCCAAAACCCCGAGCCCAGGAGCCAGCAGGACGAGGCAGAGGAGGGGCGGTTCGTGTTGTACCTGGGCAGCCAAGAGGTGAGATGTGGCCAGAGGGTGGTGGAGCCCATGTTGCATCAGTGATGTCCATGCCTGGACGTCAGCCCCTCACCTGGTCCCTGAATATCTTTGTGGGGGACACAAAGCCCCTGGATGCAGCCATCAGCCTGGGTGGGGAGTGGAATAGGGGGCTGTTTGTCCAGTGCAGCCCTGGGAGCATCAGAGAGAGCTCCTGCCTGTCCCAAATGCCAACATGTGGTCCTGTCTCTCCCTGAGTTCAGGCCACTGGAGACTACCTGGGCATTGTGCTCAAGGACCGCAGAGTGCATTGGATCTACAAACTTGGAGATGAGGAACCAACCTCCCTGAGCGTTGATGAGGATATCGGAGAGCAGTTTGTCACCATCAGCATCAACAGGTCAGGCCTTTGCTCAGGGAGGGCAGGGTTTGCTCCTTTGGGGGTCTCCCCTGCTCCTGACCATCCCTCCCTGCTGCAGGATCCTGCAGTACGGGCACATGTCGGTGATCGTGGAGAGGCAGAGGGTGCACGAGATCAAGGGAGACAGCGTGGCCAAGGGAGAGCAGGGGCTGCTCAACCTGGACCCACGCAACGTGGTCTTCTACGTGGGGGGCTACCCCTCCAGCTTCACGGTGAGGCAGGCGGCGGGGAGCGGGCTTTAGGAGGCTCTTACAGGAGGGAAACCCTGTTTAAGTGTTGGGTTTTTCATTCCCAGCCTCCTCCTGCTTTGCGCTATCCCAACTACCGCGGGTGCCTGGAGCTGGACACGCTGAACGAGGAGGTGGTGAGCCTGTACAACTTCCAGCACACCTTCGAGCTGGACACCGCTGCCGAGAAGCCCTGTGCCAGGTGGGCACCGGGAGCAGCCTGCCCCAAGGCACTCAGCTCTGCTCACTCCATGCCTTGGGATTGATGGCTCCTGTTGTTGTGTGTCTCAGGTCCAAGTCCACGGGAGACCCCTGGCTGACTGATGGCTCCTACTTCGACGGCACCGGCTACGCGGAGATCAAGTTCGAGAGCCAGTTCGGCACAACCAAGCGCTTCGAGCAGGAGATCCGCGTGGTCTCCTACAACGGCATCATCTTCTTCCTGGAGAACCAGGCAGGTGCTTGCTCCCCTGGGGAGCCTTCATCCCTCAGTGGACAGTCCCAGGCATTCCCAGTTCAGGATACTTGGGAGAGGAGGGATTTGATGATCTCAGGGCTGCTTGGAGCAGGATTTCAGCACTGTTGTTAAAAGCCATGAGCAGACTGGACCCAAACCCCACAGCAGTCACTTGGCTGGTGCTGGAGGGGCTCCCCAGAACTTGGGAGACCCTCCAAGCTAGGCCAGGGTTCACAGGGGCAGGCAGTGCTGCAAGGAGCATTTCCAGCTTGCAGTGTTATCCCTGTGCCCCAGCACAGGGCTGCTGTTTGAAAATAAATCCCAAATAACTGTGACCAGGGCACTGGAAGTGGGACCTGCTTCCACCAGTGCTAAAAGGCAGGTGGGCACAGTGCCACAGCTGCATCCTGGGCACCTGCTGAGTGTCCATCCTGCCTCCCCCAGGGTCAATTCCTGTGTCTGGCCATCCGGGATGGGAAGCTGGCTCTTTACTATGATTTCAGCTCTGGCCTGGAGATGGCAAAACCGAGCAACTCCTCATCGCTCACCATCAGCAGCACCACAAACAAAGCGGTAAGAGGTCACAGGGCTCTCGTGGAGGGAGGGCTCCTCATCCAGCCTGGGGAGGCACATGGACCATTGTTTTTGAGGGGGTCAGAGCTACAAGACGTTTTTTTGACTTGAGCCATTAACTTGACACTTTGTCTTGCCCTCTGTGATGGACCTAACTGCCCCAGACTGACAGATCATTTCTCTGTTCTGTCTCCAGATCCAAATTTTCCTCCTCAAAATGAATAACAAGAAGCGCATCCTGGTGCGGGTGGAGCGCCTCACCATCTTTGTGGTGGAGCAGGAGAACTCCCTGGAGAACGCTGTCTCCTACTACCTGGGGGGTGTGCCCCCAGCTGTGCTGCCCCCCAGGTGGGTCCAGCCTGCAGTGGGGTGGGACAGTCAGCATGTTCCCCTCGAGTCCCTGGTGGTGGCCCTGGCCCTTTCTCAGCCACGTCCAGGGCTGTTGGAGCCGTGCTGAAACTGAGGGGGAAGTTTTCCTCCCCCTGTCCATCATCCTGAGCTTTTAAGGATTGTAACTTTTCCATCTCTGGTGAGGGATGAGGTGCTGGTGGGTGTCACCAAGTCCTCCTTTGCCATGCTGCATGCTTTGGAGCAGCCTTGACACTGGAGATACCTGTGACCATCACAATTCATTCCCAGGCACTTTGCCTGAAAGAACTGCAGGGCCAGATCCTGCCCAGGGCCGTGTCCTGCCTGGGGCTGTCCTTGTTAACTCTGTCTGCTTCTCCTGCAGTTTGAAATCTCTCTTCCCCACGGGTGGGCCCATCCGGGGCTGCATGAAGGGCTTGAAGGCTCTTGGCAAATACGTCGACCTGAAGCGCATGAGCACCGTGGGCGTCAGCTACGGCTGCACCTCGGACCTGCTGGTGAGCACAAAGCCCTGGCAGCCTGGCCAGCGTGCTGGGGGAAGGGTCTGCAGGGAAAGGGAGAGCAGGACCCCCAGGACAGGCCCATGTCCCCTCATTCACACAGAAACAAGCATAAACCTCCCAAGTCCTCAGTGCAGAGGGGTCGTGGTGAGGTGCTTGCTCCACATGGTTGGCCATAGCAACAGCCAGAGCCAGCAAGGAAGCAGAGCTCCTCACTCATGTCCCGGTGCCCCAGCAAGGCCAGGGCCAGGCTCCCACCTTGCCTCTGTGCTGTCTCTCACAGATTGCCCGCTCGATCAGTGTCCATGGCCACGGCTTCCTGACCCTGGCTCTGACGGATGTGCCGGGGCTGCGGGACTTCTACAGCGGCTTCAGCTTCCAGACAAGCCAGCCTGAGGGGCTGCTCTACCACCACTCCACCCAGGTGGGCACCTGCAGGCCCCCAGATATCCCAGCAGTGGGGCTGCTGGGGAGGGTGCTGCTTCCCCTGGGGAAAGAGGGGATTGTGATGGGGCCAGGATGTGAATCTGCAGTGAGATCTGCACCCTGAGCTCCTGGAGGGAAGTGGGGTTCAGCTGCTGAGCTGCTGCGTGATGCTTTCTGCAGGAGGGGACGTGCCAGGTGTCCCTCCAGAGGGGCCAGCTGGCCTTGAACCTGCTGGGAAGCGAAGTCACCACTGACAGTGCCTATGCAGATGGCAGGGCCCACTACGTGGCCTTCTACAGCGATGCCCGTGGGTACGTGTCCTGCTGTGGGTGCTGCTGGGGGCCGGGGTGCCCACAGCCTCAGGGTCCTGCTGAGCCCCTGCTGCCACCCCAGGCTCCGGCTGTACGTGGATGACGAGCTGCAGGACACCAGGAGGGGCCCCGGGCCCAGCCGGCGGCAGCGGCGCCAGGACGGGCGGCGGCTCTTCCATCTCGGGGGCTCAGCAGAGCCAGGAGCCCTCAGCAACCTCACCGGCTGCATCGGGAATGTCTTCGTCAGGCGGTGAGTGACACCGTGCCACTTGCACACAGCGGGGCTCAGCCCCTTCCCACCTCCCTTCCACAAGCTGGTGTGACAAGGACCTTTTCTCCCCTTGAGTAGGATGTCAGAGCCACAGATGGTGGTGGACCTGCAGCAGAATGTGGAGAGCATCAATGTCACCATGAGCTGTCCCTTGGGCGAGCAGTCGCAGCAGCTCAGAGTCACTCCGAAGAAGGACAGGCGGAAACCCAAGGTACCAGCTGCTGCCAGAGCTCCCCACGTCCTCCTCCTCATCCTCCCCAGGTGCCACTGCTCAGCTCTGCTGGCAGGGCAGGGATGCTCCCCTCACTCCATTCCCTGGTGCACGTTGCGTAGGTGCCGGGCAAGCCTGCGCCCAAGGGCCGCCGCCACGACCAGGACGGGCTGTGCCAGCTGCACCCCCAGCCCCGCGCAGCCAGGGGCTCCTTCCGCTTCGGGGGGGCCCCGAGCAGCCGCTGGGAGTTTGATGAGATCCCAGCCTCCTTCGGGTGGAGGTGAGCCTCGCCCCGTGCCCACCCTATGCAATCCTGGCCCTGGGATCATGGCCTGGAAGCACATGTGCCGTGCAGTTGCTGGCGAGCCGGGTGCTCCCATCACTCGCTGTCCCTGCAGGTCCCATTTCTCGTTGGAGGTGAAGCTGAACTCCTCCAATGGGCTGCTCTTCTACGTGGCGGGCGAGCGGGGCTCCTCCATGGCTCTCTTTGTGTCCAACGGGCGCTTTGTTTTCCTGGTGGACGTCGGCAGGCGCCGGCTGCGCATCCGCAGCAAGGACAAGTACCGTGACCGGCGGTGGCACACGGTGAGCGGGACACGGGGCTCAGCAGGACCTCCCTGAGCCACATCAGTGCCCCTGCAGGGGCTGGCTCAGTGCAGCCCTGCTCTGGGTGTGTGCACGTGGGACACTGCAGCTCCAGGGGAGCAAAGGAACAGCAAAATCACAGCAAATTCAGCTGGCTGAACCTCTGAGCTGAGGCCTCCCTTTGCTGGGGCTCCTCCCAACCCAGCAAGCTCCCAGCCTTGGCACTGACCTTTGCTCCTTGCAGGTCTTCTTCAGCAGAGACCAGAGCCGGGCTCAGCTGGTCATCGATGGGCTGCGAGCCCAGGGTGCTGCAGTGGCCACCACGGCGCTCTTCGTGGCCCAGACCCCCTTGTACGTGGGGGGGCTTCCAGCTGGAAAAGCCAAGGTTCCCATACCGGTAAGGGCTTGGCAGCGCCATGGCATCACCCTCTCTCAGCCTGTTCGCAGTCCCATGGCATCACCTCGTGCCTCCCAGCTGTGCCTGGTGTGTGCTCAGTGGCCTCTCTCCGCAGGCTGCATCGGCCTCCAGCTTTGATGGCTGCCTGAGGAACCCACAGCTGGACGGGAGGCCCCTGGGTCCCCCCTCACGCACTTTTGGGGTGACGCCGTGCTATGAGGGCGCGCTGGAGAGCGGCGTCTTCTTCACCCCGGATGGCGGCTCCATCGCCTTAGGTACCGCACTGTGGCCAGGGACTGGGAGGGTCACATTCCATGGGAATGCCCTTGGTCCTCTCCTCACCGGTGGCATTGCTCTTCCAGCTGATGCAGTGATGACTGAGCAGGACTTGGAGGTGACACTGGAGGTGCGTCCCCGCAGTGCCTCTGGCCTCATCTTCCACATCGGCACGAGGAGAAGCCACCATCTCCTGCTCTACATGGAGGAGACCAAGGTACTGCGAGGGGGGCTTCCCCACAGATTTTCAGAGGGAGTTGGGTGTCTGCTGCCTGTCCCTCTCAGCTCTCCAGCTCTGATGGGTTTCTCTCATCCCAGGTCACTGTGAGAGCGGGCTCTGGGGCTGATGAGTTCTCAGCATCGGTGACAAGCCCAGCTCTCTGCGATGGGCAGTGGCACACCATTGCAGGTGAGGTGACAGCTCCCCTGGTTCTGTGCCTCTGCTCCAGCCCTGCTCAGCCCACATCTCCTAGGGAGCTCAGGACAAGCCCAGGCTCAGGAATTTAAACCCTATCCACCTGCCGTGTGCACTTAATTTGGGAGTTTGTAGCTGCCATGTGGGCAGTTTCCTAATTAACAACAACTCCTCCCTGATCTTAGCACTGTCAGCTCTGGTAGTCGGGCAAAGCAGGTTGTTTTTCCACTCCATGGAGCTGCTGGCAAGGCGAAGGATGTGCCACAGGACTTGATCCATCCTGGATTGTGTCCAGCTTGAAGTGAAAGCCCAATTTGCTTTGGTGTCGAGTGTGTCCAAAGGGCTCCAAGCCCATAGTTGGGAGCGGGGATTGCAGAATTCATACCTGCACAGGAAACTCAGCCTTTAATGTAGCTGCCATTGAGCAAGTGCTGTTTTATGTCAAGTCCTTTTTGGGGTTGGGCAACAGTTGCAGCCCCATCTCATCACAGCTCTTTTAAACCTTCATCTTGTTCAGCCAGCACTGGGTGAGGTTTTGGGGAGATTGTCCCAACTGGCCATTTCCCAAGAGCTAGGCCAGGCCTTTTGACCCTCAGTAGTTAGCTCTTGCTCCAACAGTGGTCTAGGCTGGAGAGCAGAGTGGGCTTGCTCCATGGGTAAGGAAGAAGCACTGACTGTTGTTTTCTTTTGAAGTTACCAAATGGAAAAACGTAATCCAGGTGGATGTGGACACAGAAGGCAACCACACAGTGGGACCCAGCCAGCCTCCTGCACCCAGCACAAGGGCAACCTTCTCCCTGGGAGGGCTACCAGGTGAGTTGGGAAAGATGTGCTCCAGGATGAAATACCCCAAGGACTACCTTGGACAAGGGAGATCATATTCCTGGTGTGAGGAAGAGGTATTTAAGCCTTTGCCAGACTAATGCCTGCTTTTGTTTCTTCTGCAGAGACAGACAAGGCCAGCACAGGGCTGCTCTTACCTCCCCTCCCTCACTACGTGGGCTGTGTCAGGAACCTGCAGATTAACCAGAGGCACGTGGAGCTGCCTCGAGCAGGGGCTGCCCGGGGCTCTGTCAGCCTCAAGGGCTGCCCCGTGCTCTAAGTGCCACACCACGGACAGCCCGAGGGACAGAACGCTGCTGCGGCCCCGGCATCACCACTGAGAGCACTGACCGTGCTCAGACACACTTATCCCCAGTGACTGCAGGCACAGGTCTGGGCCAAACCAGAGGGGCCACAAATCCCAGGGGAAAGGAGGGCAGGGGAGGACGGCTGGGGAGAAAGGGGCACTTTGGGGATGTTTCACAAATAGAACCAAAAAGTTGGAGCGGGATGTGGCGACAGGCGCGTCCTTGCTGGGTGGTCAGGGATCTGCAGCAGGGCTCGTGCTGCCCCGTGGCTCGTGCTGGTGGAGCACAGAGCAGCCCTGCAGCTCGTCCTGAATCCTGTTCCCTTCACCCCACACGTACAAGGCACATAGATTTAGTTCACCGAACACTTGAGGCTGTTAATAAATGTCACAGACTGTCTGCTGATAAAGGCTGCAGGCAGTTTCTGGTTTATAATAAATGCAATTAGGACAAACTGGATTAATTCCGTTGGTTTTGGGGTTTTATAAGCAAGGGCACATTTAACCTCCCCCCAAGGGCAGTCTCAGCTCATCTGCTACTGCTACGCATAGAGCTCTGCAAGGGGGAACTTGGACAAAATTCTGTTCACAGAATTAGCATCTTTTTATCAGAATAATTTATAAGAATCAAAAAAAGAACAGAATAGGCTGGGAGAACTGCTGAGGGAAAGCAGAAAGGCACATCCACCACTGGCTCTGCACTTGCATTCAGCACTGGTAGTACACTGACAAAAGTCCTGTTGTGTGAAGCAAGAAACCATTGCTTGAAAGGGAAAAAATGGAAAGGTTACCTCCACACCTGGCCCTCACCCACGCTGGCTCCTGCTCAGCCTCCCTCAGCCCTGGTGTAGTGCAGTCTCCACTTGAAGCAGCTTTTTTCTCCCAAGACACCCAGTTCACTCGTGCACTTACACGTCATATATATATTTGTGTGTGTATATATATCTCTGGCCACTTGGGGACAAAATCTTGCTTCTGAAATGGACTTGTAACTTATATCATTATATTGTGGGTTTTTTTATGAGGGGTAAATATTGTAAAATGGGTTTTTAACATGTCCATCTTAAATGTAATTATGACCTGTTTTTAAAGTTGTAGTATTAAAGATGGTCTTTGTAAATCACTGGTACATACTTTGGAGTCAAATAAAGTTTTATGTTACTCTCTTTCACTTTACCTGGGGAGAGTAAGCCTCAGGCTGATGAGCTGGAAGAGGGATAATCAGCACTGTAGGGCTACTGTACAGATTGGAAGGAACAGTATGGCAGATAAAGAAAATTCCTTTATTTGTAGATTTATATAAGCATAATATGAAGTTAGTAATCCTACTGCAGTTGCTTAAGTTAGTATCTAGGAATATCTGTAAGGAAGAGCAAATAACTTAATCTAAACTCATATCTTCCTCTTCATCTTTCTTGTCCTTAGAGTCTCCTTCCTTTTGGTCTGACTTGACACTGTTCTGCATGGCTTTGGCAAAGGCTTCTACATCTAGAAGTTAAACACACGAGTTATTGCATTTCCTGGGCTGGAGCTCATTGTCCACGCAAGGTTAAAGCTTCCTTACTTAGAAAGCAAACAGTTGCTTCAGTGAATTAACAGGGAGGAAAATTTTAAACTAAGTAACACACATCCAGATCTCTCTGACACAGCATTTTATGCACTTTAGTTGTGCATGCGCATCCTAAGACCAGAATTCTTGCAGTAATGAGAGAGATGCTAAAAGCTCATTAAGGAAAAGGGATTGCCTCACTGCCAGATCTGGCCCTGACTGTGTACACTGATTTCATGTGAATCATTAAATGCCACAAGAAAGGCATTCCTGAACAAGGTGACTGTGCCACCTCCAGAGTCTTCTGCATCTCTAGCAAAAAAACAAGGCCAACACATGTCTGCAGAACCCCAACTTCTCTCACAGCACATAGCACCTCGCTCTGCTGGAACACCTGTCCCACCCACCTTTTCCTTGTAAACCAGTGCAACAGTCACCTTGCAGACTGAGAACTCAGAGAGGGAGAGTTAGAGAGAAGCTGATCATTACACTCCGTATTCAGTGGCCATGTGCAGTGCCAAAACCCCCAACAACCCCCTCTTCTCCTGCTCCCACCAGCACTCACCGCCTTTATTTGCTGCATCTACTGCCTCTGCAGGTAGCCCAAACTGGCTCATGAGTGGGCCCAGCTGTCCTGAAGCTAAGGCAGCACTGAACATGCTCAAAGCCTGTGGATTGGAGTCAACAGCATCAAAATAAAAGTTTCCATCAGATTCCTGCAGCAGTAACCCCAGGAGGACAGCAGTCCTGTCAGGGCAGGGCTTGGGAACAGATATGCAATAAAATAATCACCAATTACATGTCCTTCACTTCCTTTTGCATGGAAGTAGCTACAGTCTAATCTAAACCAGTCATTTAAGCTCCTGAAATTTTGCAAATGGGCAAATTTTAATCAATCTATGTAAATTACTAGTTCAGATTGGTCTGTAAGATGCCAACTTTATCACACACAGTGTCCTGCAATTAAGGACTGGTGTTTCAAGGATGTAGTGTAGTAACCATGAGCATCTTCTGCTCAGTCACATGAAATTACCTTTAAGGAGCCATTTGGAAAGGGATTAATGAATTTGCTACTACTTCTGTCATTTACCAGAGCACATTTATAGTAAAGAAGAAGGTAAAGCCCAGCTCCAAAAGAAAAAGTAAAAACTATTCCCGTCTGCCCTTGAGTTCCTCCTGCCCATCTGCAGGAGGAACTAATGCTCTGTTAAACCATGTCACTCCTTTCCACTTCTACTGAGCAACTTCCCACTATGAACAGTGCCAGGAACCTGGAAAAGCAGGGCAGGGTCAATCAGGATGGGAAAGGGGGAAGAAGTGCAGTTCCCCCTAGAGCCAGCATCTACCTGCTGGAACTGAGGAGACGTCAGGGTGTTCTGGATCTCTTCCGCAGTCTGTGGCAGGGATTCCCCTGAGGGAAGGTAAGGCATCAATCGCTCCTGAACTTCAGCGTTGGCCAGGATGGGAGCCATGATCTCAGGAGTCAGAACAGCTGCCAGGTCCACTAGGAGAAAACAAAGGGTTGGCCATCAGACTACACCCCAAACCCCGTGCTTTTGTCATGTAAATCAAATTATCTAGTCAGGGTCTGAGTATTGAAATTATTATCACACTGCCACCATCTTTTCTCCCTCTCAATTTTGGAGTGAGACTAAGTCTCCTGAAGCAGTCAAAACCAGCACTGAAATTAAAAAAAAACAAACACCAAAAAACAGGAACAAAAAAATTAAGAGACCTTTCAAACCAGTGTGGAACAGGACAGGACAGTAAAACAGCTCCAAAGGACTCCAGGATCCAGCAGCTGCCTGGTCAGAGCACTGTTACCTTGCTGTCCTCCTGCTCCAGATGGCACATTCATAGTAGCTAAAATGTTCTGAAGGTCACTCAATTGAATGGGCTGGGTTGGGCTTGTGGCTGAGCTGGTTCCATTACCCGAGCTGGGAACGGGGCTGGGGCTGGTCACCGAGGCAGCCGCAGGAACGGACGGGGCCGGCGTTACACGTGTGGAAGAAGTGGTGGAAGATGGAGTCACTGCAGCCGACTGGCTGCGAGAGCTGGGCAAGACAATTAGGGTAATTAATTCCCTGCAAAAACCTCTTGTATTCTGAAAAACTTCTTTTCAAACCCTTACAGTATAAGAAACTCCTACCTCATTTTAGAGGTAATAAGCAGCCTTGATTCCCACCATATTCCCCATTCAATAAGCCATGATTCCTCCCACAGCAGCGGCAAGTTCCCACTGCAATAGTCCAGGGCAGACAAGGCCTCCTACCTTGATGATGAACTGCTGGTTGGAGGTCCCCCACTCCCGAGCAGACTGGCCAGCCCAGGTCCCGTCAGTGCACCCAGCCCACCTTCCGTGAACGTAAAAGAAGAACATGTTTAGACATTTATTTCTTCAGGTTTTCTGCACCTCTCTTATCTGGAGAGGCTGCTGTTGTACCTGAAATATTTGCTAAAATAGAGGAGGGGGTGAAAGAGCCCAACCCACCCTCCTATTCCCTTCTCCAAATTAATAGAATCTTCTTTTTTGATCTTGCATCCCCATTAGAGAGCTGAACATCTCAGAAATGACTCAGTTTCTAGGTGTGCACAAGGATGAAGTCACTCCAGTTTGTGCTGTACATACATCATTGTAACACAGCCCATCTCATCCACTACACCAAAAATCCAACTTTTCTATGAACTTTAAAACCAAGGCCCTCAGCAGAAGATCCCAGAGGCGTCTTTGAGTCGCCACCACTCTCTCCTCACAGACCAGGGGTTTGCAGCTTCAAACCTAACACAGAGATGTGGCAAGAGAATTAGCCAAGCTCTTAAATACTTCACAAGCAAAGGAAGGACAGCTCCACACCCCAAGTGCTCTCAGGGGAGCAGCCAGCAGGAAACCAACACCCTTATGCCAAAGAAACCAGAATCAGCCTCCTCCATCACACTTCCCAACTACCAAGGACTTGTGGCAGGGTCAAGAACCTCAGCTGGGAAAAGGCCTGGCTGCTGGCCCCCCTGGAGTTGTCAGGGACTCGACTGCTCCCCTACAACTCCTTTGAGCCACATCAGCCAAACACTCCATTTCCCATCAGCAGTTCCTTGCACCACACCTGATTATACACACAAAGCACCTGCATTCCTCACCCACCTTTGGGAGCACCTGGGATCAGAGGACAGAACAACAGCACTCAGTGAGCAAACCCATGGCCAACTGCAGCTACAGACCCTGCAGGTCAGAGTGAGCCCCTGCCAGCCCCTCCTTGTTCAGGAACAATCCCATGGAACCAGCACTTCCTGTCACTTATCCCCGAGTTTCCCCAGCAGCAGGCACAGCAGGTAAAGCTCACCACACACTGCTCTGCTCCATTTCATGGTAAAAGTGACCCAGGAGCAAGAGAGCTCCTCTGGAGCTCTGCAGAGCCCCAAGAGATGCAAACCAGCTGTGATGAAGATGACATTCCCAGGGGGAATGTTCCCCAGGGATTCACCACAACCACTGTTTGCAGCAGCAAGCAGATGGTTCTCTTTCTGTTACATGTCAATCTGGTTGTGGCTGAATGTAAAGGCAAGGAAAGAAGAACTGCTGAGGAAAAGTGTTGAAAAAAGGAGGACAAGTCTCAGGATTATGTGAAGCTTCAAGAGGAAGATCTTTTCCAAACACATCCTAAAAGGCCAGATTTTTCCAACACTACCATGAGATTTGCATCTGAACATCCCACCAATATGCATCTGAGGCTAAAAAGACACCAGCCAGATCCACAAAAATGGACTTATGAGCTTAAGCACAGAACCTTTGTCACAGCTGTGCTCCTTTGCCTATTTACACCCGAGGGTCCGACCCATGAGAAAACGCTCCTGGAGCATGGACAGCATTGAGAACAGCCCACAGCCCCTTCAGAAACCAGTGATTCCAGCTCTCCCCAGGGCTGCCCAGGAGAGAAAGCCCTGCCCTGAGCCTTGCCCCCTGACTGGGGAGTGCTGTGGGGTGGGACCACTCTGACCTTCCTCTTTAACTCTTTCTACTTTGCACACAAATATTCACTGAATCAGAGACAACACAAGCAATTCCACAGCTTGGTAACCAGCACGTTTATCAGGAGCAAATCACTGGTATTCAGCCCCTGCTCCAGTGAATATTTAGGAAGAAAAAGTGGAGTAGAAAAAAACAAGGGAAAAAAAAGCAGAAGATTCAGTACAGCAAGGAGCAGAACCACAGTTCCTTGCAGATCAAGCCCTGAGCTGAGTGCTGTGTAGAATCTGGTACCCTTTTTCTGTCCCTGAGCTCATCTCGGAGGCAGGGCCTTGCCTTCTCACATGAAAGAAGCGCTATTGAGATCAATAGCACTGCTTGAGAACATTGTCAGGTAAGATTTAACCTGGCAGGAGAAAATACCATTTTGGCATAAAGATATTAAAGCATTTTACCAAGTCCTCCTAAGCCCGTTGGTCCGATCAGCTGCATGAGCTGGTTATGGCTCATGTTTCCAAGAAGGCTTTGCAAGCCACCCTCACCTAAAAACAAAAACATTCTGAAACACAACATATTCACATGGTTTTTTTCACAGCACTCCGGCTCAAACAGCAGGAGATTAATTGGCATCACATTCTGTATGGAAAAACAGTTTCA